ATGTTCCAAGTTCATGTTGGTACACATCCTGATTTCAAGGATTATTCCTATTAACTAAACATGACTTAGAATCACCCTTGTTTCAAAACATAAGAAAAAAAATTCCCCGATTCCTGTTTCTCTCCAACTATTAGTTCTTTTCTCTCTACCCTTCAAAGTACGGTATCGCACAGCAGCTATAACCTATCCTTCTTCTCCTTATATAATATTTTCTTCTCTTGGCATCCATGAGAATCCAAATCCTTGGCCCTACTGTTTGCCCTTTGCCCTCTCTGCCCACTCCATCTCACATTCCATTTCAGGCTCCTCATCCTCTGCCCAATTCAAATTTTGGAGTAACATCAAGACTCGGTCTCAGCCTCTTTATCTAGAACCTTCTGGGTGACACCAGTCTCATGGCTTTAAATAGCAATTAAAGAGTAGTGGGTTAAAGGCAAGGGCACTCTTGTCAGAATGCATAGGTTCTGATCCCCTCTGCCACTTACTTACGAGGCGACTAAGGCTGATTTAATAATTGAACTACCATGTCCTTTTCCTCATCTGTTAAATAGTAACCGTACCCATTTCACAAGGTTATAAGGAAGATTAAGTAAGACAATTTGCTTTCGACCATTCAGGGCATGTGGTTAGTACTCAATATTCGTGACTAATGTGACCCTGTGACCAGTTATTAATTACTGTGACCTCATAACTAGTCTCTCTAGATGTGGTCAGTATTTCATGCATCAGCCAGTGATCTTTAAAACAATTGTCCAAGTCTAACCTGCTTAAAATCTTTCAGTGAGTGCCTACTCCAAACTCCTTCCTAGGGCCTAAAAGACACGCTCTGTCTGGCTCACGCTCTCCTGTGTAGCCATGCCTCCCCTCTGCTTTATCCACAGCAGGCCTGTTGCTCTTTACTTCAAAGGCCTTTCCCTTTCCTGTCAGGACCTTTGCACTTCACTGTCTCAGTTGCTTGAACCACTTTTCCCCAAAGGTTCCTGTGACTTTAAGTCCCTCTGGTTAAGCAGCTCCTTCCCTCCCCGGTCTCCTCTTTTGCATTAATGGTTTTTATTTAATGGCACTTACCGCTATCCAAAATTCTCATTTCTCATGTTTTTCTCATCCTTACCACTATCTGAAATTGTCTTATACCTTGTGTGTTTATCACTAATGATGCCTGCTGACACATTGCATATTACTGTGCGTCAGGTACTCTCCACAGCTACTGAGTGCCTGGCTCAAGTGTTTGTTGATTGAAAGAATATTAATTTATCACTGTTACATAAGACTAGGTGGACTCATTCCTAAAGTGATAGTTCAGATTATTATCTCCAGAGAGGGTTTTGTGGAGAATAAGAAAAATGATGTGTATAATTGACAATGAATTTTGAAAATGCCTAAAAGAATCAAGTTGTTTAAACAGAGATATGTCAAAGAGGAAAGCTGTTTAACTGTTTAGGTAAAGCCTCACAGCAGGTGTTAACTTGGAACCTGAGTCCCCAGTGTATAGGGGTAGTTTTTGTTAAGTCTTTAGTGGTACCTGCACATCCTAATGGTAACCTAGCCTCATTTAGATGACCAACTAAACCTAATTGTTATTCTTTAGGGGAGGGAGAGTCTTCCAATCCAAACCTCTAAAATAAATTTGTGGTTTGGTTTCTTCAGCAGCATTGCCTTTTTCTGGAGCATTATCTTTAGAATTTCTCCACGGTTTCTGTTTCTCATCTAATTGTATAACACCTTGACCATTGCTGTACTTCATTAGAGAACAGTTGATGGATTCTATTCTTGACATCACTATTTACTGTGTTGGCTACTGGATGTTTATTTTTTAGTATTTGAGCCACATTGAGGTTGATATTGTGAATTACAGTTTAGATATTATATAAATAGAAACCCAAATGTTCATTAAATTAATATCAAAAGTCAATGCTGAATTTGTAAAATAGTCTGAAACTCACATCTGCAGATGACATTACAAGTATGGATGTCAACTCACCAAATATAAGTACCTATTATGGACGTATGTGTTTTCAGATAGACTAGATGGATGATTCCTATTGTATACATACTACATCCAGCCAGTACTGCACACACTTGTTGACTTGTTAAAATTAAACAAAATGTATGGAAATTTTGAAAATGTGTTTGCTGCATATGAACCCGCCTCTTCAGACACTGTTGGTTCCTGTTATTAGTTAAATGTGCATCTGTTGGTTTGTTATTATCAGTGGACTACATACTGAAAAGTTCTTTAGGAATAAGATTCAAATGAAGAGAATGGGACTTTGAGCTATTTATCTTAAATATAGAATTGCACATGGCAGAACTAAGTAGAAGGGAATACAGAAATAGAAAACTATAAATTACAAGCCTGACATCTCTTTTTATAGGGCTGTGAACAATTCAAATTATGGTTGGAGAGCCCTGAGACTATTAGCACGGAGAAGTCCTCACTTCTTCCAACCAACCAACCAGCAGTTTAAAAGTTTACCAGAATATCTTGAAAATATGGTAATAAAGCTAGCCAAGGAATTACCGGTAAGTACCATAGATCAGCTTTTCATACCCTTTAGTTGACTTCTTCTTTAGAATTGCTATTGCTATGTGAACAAAAAACCCAGTTAATCATGTAAAAACACAAGCTCCCATGTTTTAGAATGAGGGAGAAACGCATTTAAATACACATTTACAGGAAATACATGAGTTGATAAAGTAACTGATAATTTTCTATACAGCATGTAACTTAAGTTCACGGGGCCGGGCGTGGTGGCTCAAGCCTGTAATCCCAGCACTTTCTGAGGCCGAGGCAGGCAGATCACAAAATCAGGAGATCAAGACCATCCTAGCCAACATGGTGAAACCCTGTCTCTACTACAATACAAAAAAATTAGGTGTGGTGGTGCACAGCTGTAGTCCTAGCTATTCAGGAAGCTGAGGCAGGGGAATTGCTTGAACCTGGGAGGCCGAGATAGCAGTGAGCCGAGATTGTGCCACTGTGCAGCAGCCTGGCAACAGAGCAAGACTCTGTCTCAAAAATAACTATGTTCAAAAATCTTTGGTGATGAAAAATAAAAAATAAATAAAATTCATGGTACTTTGGGTAAACTGTTAAGCACCTGTACATGCAGACATGAATTTTTCCTGTTTGCCATTGCATTATATTGTCTTTTCTCAAAGAAAAAAGAATCAAATTTTTAAGAACACTTGCTACTGCCTTCCTTGAGGCCTTACTAAACTCTGGATATTTGCAAATCCTGGCACTGTGCTTTTCACTTCCTTCCAGATTGGGGGAGTCTTTCTAACTCTGGGGCCTTCCCCAGTTCACTCCTTCTGCAGGTGAAGACAGCCCCACTTAGAAACCTTACCTGACACTGTCGTTTAACAATGTCAGGGGTGAAATTCTGATGCCCTGTACTTGGAATCTTACAACCATCCTTATCTAAACAGAGTACCTGCTACCTTACTTCAGAGGCTGGCATTCTTTCAAACATTTTTCTTTCTCATTTTTAGCCGCCTTCTGAAGAAATAAAAACAGGTGAGGATGAAGATGAGGAAGATAATGATGCTTTACTGAAGGAAAATGAAAGTAAGAATTGCATTTGCTTGGTTATTTTACAAAATTGAAGAAGATGGGGGTTCTTTGTTGATAGGTACATTATTTGGTCAGCTTCTCAACTTCTCCCATTTTATCTCGACTGTTTCTTACAGCGAGGAATTTAAAACATTGCTTAGCAATAACTTTAAAAATACTATATTTTATGCAATAAAATCGGGAAGTAATCATGATACTTTGAAATGGAAGGTAAATACATTTGAAGGCGACCCATACCTCTGTTAATTATTGGTAACTGGAGGGGGAGCAGCTCATTTCAGAGAAAGGCTTCATAGTTGTAACAGATGTTAACAGCTTTAGCTTTGCTGATTGACCGTGCTTATTAAGAGTGGTCAACTTATGGAAAATATTAAAAAATAATTGTTTACTTTTAAAATAAAGTCTACTAAAGGTGATTAATAACTCATTGGCCCCATAGCTTTCCATTCTGTTGTATACTTAGAATTGCACATGTCCTTGTACTCTGCACATAATTTATATTTTTTTCATTTTCTAGGTCCTGATGTTCGGCGAGACAAACCTGTAACAGGAGAACAAATAGAGGTATTTGCCAACAAGCTGGGTGAGCAATGGAAGATTCTGGCTCCCTACTTGGAAATGAAAGACTCAGAAATTAGGCAGATTGAGTGTGACAGTGAAGACATGAAGATGAGAGCTAAGCAGCTCCTGGTTGCCTGGCAAGATCAAGAGGGAGTTCATGCAACGCCTGAGAATCTGATTAATGCACTGAATAAGTCTGGATTAAGTGACCTTGCGGAAAGTCTAACTAATGACAATGAGACAAATAGTTAGCTTCTTTTTTTTCTTTTTATTAAAACTGTGATAAGATTTTGTTACCAAGCAGCATTTGATAAGAGGTCCACTGGTTTTGGTAAACAATAAACATTTTTATAACAATTGTTGTACAGTCGGCTGGTGCTCTAAGAACAATAGAACACATATTGGCTCAAACCAGAGTTTGGGGAAGTTGTTGAGAGGGTGGGTTGAGAAAATGACCTAAACGAAGTGACCTCAAGATCACAAAATACATTTCTGTTAAGTAGATGTATTTATAATGAAGTGAAATAAACACTACTTAGGGATATGTTGTTTCCTATACCAAATTAGTTTCCTGTGTGCTGTTAGTAGTTACAAAATCTAGCTATCCTGAAATCCCAGAATAACACTTTCTGAAACCATATGACTGTTCTAGTCGCACTTCTTATTTGTGCTTTCAAGCAGAGGATCAGCAAATGATGGTCTGTTCTCCCTGCCACGAGTCTTGATAGTTAAAACTGTACTGGCACCCAGCTGTGCTCACTCATACTGTCGTCTGTAGCTCCAGTTACACTACAACAGCAAAGCTAAGCCTGAAATATTTACTATCTTGTCCATTGCAGAAAATGTTTGCCAACTTTTTAAAAGAAATCAGGTCTTAAAACCTCACTTTTCTTTCTAGCCTTACAAAAATTGCCTGACCTCTCAAGACTTTTTAATCACTTCAGGGATTCTTGTGACAATCATTTAAATGAGATGTATGTGAAGGCACCCTAAACAAACAGCAAAGCACTAGGTAGTAGCGGAAGATGATAGTACCACCGACTTTTCCTGTTCCCACATAAACATTTCTTTTTAGGGCTCTAAAACGAGGTCACCATTGTTTTTAATCCTGAAGGGCTACAGAGTGCAGATGATTATTCTGTAAACGCTCTTGCTTGGGCCTAAGTTCTAGCTAGTCAAGCAGTGATCTAGCACAGCTCTAATGTTGAAATGGCCTCGGTGTGAGTGGCACAGCATATAAGGCACATTCAGGAATCAAGACCTTTTACTCTCCCCTTCTCAAAAAGACCTGACACACAAGGCCGAATTCTAAAATATCCTATTAGTTTAAAACAACACTGGTATAATTCCTGTTTCTACCTGAAAAAATTCTTTGGAATAATGCTTTTTTAGATCAAATAAAATGAAATCAAGCTTTTTATAATGATAACTATAATTTTTAAAATTCTAATATATTCCATACAAGGCTCTAAACCTCGCTCACCTGGTCTAGTAGTAGCTACAGCATCTAGTAGCTACAGTCAGAAAATCTAAATTCTGTTAAATTCATGTCAATACAATTGTTCTGACTAAATGAGACAATGAATAAAAAAGACTTTGCAAAGTTACAGGCATCACAAAAGTATACATGAACCATTAATTCTTACGGTCTCATCTTCCTCATTCTATTCTTACTCCCCTCCACAAAGTAGAAAGTTTTGATTGCCAAGCCAAAGTTTAGGTGAGGAAGCTATTTACAAATAAATTTCCCTGCAATGCTTATTTTATCCCCTAGTGTTCACAGATTACATCACATCAGATACGAAAGCAAATTGCTGTTATTTTCTATTTTTAATAGTTAATCAGTGTTATGCTCCGCAGAGCATTAAAACGATATACACAAAGAAATAATGAGATGTCATGATAATCCTCAAACTTTATTATAAACGTCTAACTCAAAATCAGAGCCAAACTGGCTGGTAGTATACTTTCCTTCCTAGCAGTCAGTCAAGGGTCCTGGAACAAAGATTAGTAACTAATGTATTAAAATGTAAGAAGCCTATCATACTGAAATCGCATATGCTTGGTGTTTTCTACCATCACCTTAAAAAAAATCACTAAAATTCTAAAATGTACATTAAGATTTGGGTTTTTTTTTTTTTTTTTTTTTTTTTGAGTCTCTCTGACACCCAGGCTGGAATGCAGTGGTGCGATCTCAGCTCACTGCAACTTCTGCCTTCCAGGTTCAAGCAATTCTCCTACCTTAGCCTCTCAAGTAGCTGGGATTACAGGTGTGCATCACCAGGCCTGGCTAATTTTGGCATTTTTAGCAGAGACAAGGTTTCACCATGTGACCAGGCTGGTCTTGATCTTAACCTCAAGTGATCTGCCCACCTCAGCCTCCCAAAGTGCGGGGATTATAGGTGGCAGCCACCGCACCCAGCCAAGATTTGGGGAATTAAGAAAGGAAATACACAAAACACCAACTGAGCCAACGACAAATCTGACTGATAACATCACGGCATTTGGCATCCAGAGAAATCCATTACTTTTACAACTTTGTATTACTTTTTAAAATACAGGCAAGCAACAAGATAAATATTTTTAAATGGATGCTTAACAGCACAGTGTTATAACCACCTTCAGAAATTGTACAGTATTAAGCATATCTGAATCTTCAACCAAGCTCCAACACTCAGAAGACAAAAGACTTGAGGTCAAAAGCTATTAATCCCTCTTATTTTTTTTTATTAAATGTCCCCATTTTCTAAAAATAAGCAACCAGAGCTTGTCAACATTTTAAGACTGATTATTACAAAGCCATTCCGAAGTTAAATGTACAATCCACAGTACATCAGAGACACAATAATAAATGTATAATCAAATGTACTATTATTGATCACAATTTATTTTAAAGTTATGAAAAGCCAGCAACAGGCTGGACAAATACTTGATTGTGCCCATGTTTCCATGGGATGGACAGCAGCACTGAGTTACACAATGAGAGCGACACTTCCTTTTCCACCTTCCTGGAAAAAGTTTGTTAGATAAGGCAAAGGATGGGTGGCTATAGAATGATGGTTTGAACCATGCAAGAAAAACAAATAATAGGTAATAGGTGTGCAATCTTGGGTGGAAAAGCAAGGAAAATGACTACAGAAGAGAAGGGTTGAAAGGCATTTCAACTCAGAATTTTTAAAAATAACGCAAGAAATAATAAGTTTTTTAAAAATGTCTTCCTGCCACCTTCATATAGGGCGGCACAAGCCAAAGATAATTTTCTTTTCTGTAATTTTTTAGGTTGATGCACAGAGTGGTCTGCTTCTGCCCTCTTTTGTTCCAAATGAGGGGAAACATAAAACCACCTATGTGTCTTCTTCCTCTAAAGCTCCGGATTATAGAAATAATCAACAAATAACATTTATTTTCACACCTAAGCATAAATGGCTAAAATGAAGATCACTATTCACTTTCCTCTTCCATTATTTCAACTCTGCGAGGCCCATAGAGTAGAACATAAGCGATATGCCAGTCTCCACCACCAGAAAGCCGTAAGATATCTTCTGGTGTTACAATGCTGACTTTGTCATCATCAAACTTAATCCATTCATCTAAATAACAAGGGAGAAGACGATGAATTAATGTTATGGAGGAAGCTTCTGAGTTCCACTGCAAAAAAGGTATCAAATCATCAGGGGCACACCAGTGCTCCATCGGTCACACCAACCAACAGTCCTCCAAGTGCGGCCCAGTGACCACACAGGCTCCAGGGCACTGCAGGGGTTCCCTCCACCAGGTTACAACCACTTCAATGACACTACTAGAGCACTGCTTACCTTTTCTACCCTCTTTCTCTCGAGTGTATTCTGGAATTTTCCAGAGGCCACATAATGTATGGATAGATAATGCAACAGACTGAATGCAGCCACTAGCAGGAGAACCTGGCTGCCTTCTATTTAAGTCAGACAACAGAAAGACTTATAAAAAGGTAAATCAGTACCATTTCTCACTCGTTTTGTTTTTATATTAATACATAATGGGCTATTACTGTCATTTTTAAATGAACTGATTTTTTTAATTTCTCAATTTTAATTTCTAAGATAGTAAATATTAAGAGACACAAACCTCATAAACCAAAGCTCTTTTGGGCTTCAAGAATGTAAAGTGGTTCTGAGACCCAAAGTTTGAAAACCATACTGCCATACAATTTATAATAAACTTAAAATAACATTGAACCACTGAAAAAAGAATACTCTTTACCTTGTTTCCTCTTCACCCATGATACATAATGTCCTGAAGAACTAGACCTTCCCTGGTGTGTTAGTACTGCTTGTAAGTCATAGTATCCACAATTATTGGAGCCAATATCTAAAGAAAGACGTAAATCCATTAATATTAAGACAATGAATAGACAGGTGCCTTCTCAAGCTAAGTAACAATCAAGAATAACTCTAAAGTCCACGTTAGTGAAGTACTATATTATCAGAATCCAGTAAGATACTACTGTCCAATCACAGTTAAGGCTTCATGATTGATGTTTTAAGAAGTAACTTACTGATAGAACTGTATGCCAACAGGAGTAATTTTACTATATGTCATATTAAGGTAAATTGTTTAAGAAACCTGACATTTTGTTTGAAAAGCAAATCGGAATAAATAAATATGGGCAAGACATAAATTTTACCTTAAAAAGGCACATATACAATAACTCAACTGAAATGAAAATGTTACTTACCATCAGCAAAAGAAAAGGGTTCATACTTAACTTCTTTCTGGGGACTACTCTTTTTGTCACTCTAAGGGGAAAAAATGTTTAATTTTAAATCATGATTTTGGAAATAAAATTTGCATCTCTGTTAAGTGTTCAATTTAATAAATATTTACTGTCTACAGTGCAAAGCAGAGACAAAATACAGTCTACCTTTCAATTACTAAAATGATGTAACTACAGTTAAAACTGTAAACCCAGTGGTCCTGCATTTTAACAATATAAAATCTTGTTAGATGACAGTAACAGACACCCTGAATGTGACGATCAATTTTAAACCACTAAAGTGAGAGCACAGCAGTGAATGTAGCAGTACAGTTAAACAGTGCTCTAGGGCAGAAAAGGAAAACCCAATTCCCCAATTTTACCAAAATACTGTCATATCACAGAGGTAGGGGAAAAAACCAAGTGCTTCTAAAACAAGGGAAGTTAAATTCCTGCAAATTTGTATTAACTCTCCTGAGCCGCGTCAGCACAAATGAACTGAAGTATTTTTCAGCAAAGACTTACCTACATTAAAGAGGTACGATTTAAATTAGACAAAGACTCTTGGGAGGAACTCGCTGCCTCAACTCATTTTAGCATGTAACATGAGAAAAAGAACTTATCTAGGTATACAGCACAAAGTTCTTTAAAACTATAATAGTAATGAAGACAATGCCAGCAGCCTACAGATAGCTGTGACGACAAGAAGTCAAAGGATTCCACAACAAAAAATGGCAACTAGGTTAATCATACCTTTTTTATATAGATAATGAAACAGCTACAGCAACCATTAAAAAATATATACAAAGAAATAAATTTTAAAATACTATAAAATAGGATTCTAAAACACAGTTCAAATAGCTTACAAGAAGACAAATAAAAAGTAAAACAGCCAAAAAGCAGAATTAAACCCTAAATGTTAATAATTGTGCTGAATGTAAATAGTCTATACCAGTCATATTTAAATTTAATATAATTTAGGCTGCACGCAATGGCTTACGCCTGTAATCCCTGTACTTTGGGAGGCCAAGGTGGATGGATCACTTGAGATCAGGAGTTTGAGACCAGCCTGGCCAACATGGTAAAACCCTGTGTCTACTAAAAATACAAAAATTAGCCAGGCATGGTGACACGCGCCTGTAATCCCGGCTACTCAGGAGGCTGAGGCACGAGAATTGCTTGAACCCAGGAGGCAGAGGTTACAGTGAGCCGAGATCACACCACTACACTCCAGGCTGGGTGACAGAGCAAGACTCAGTCTCAAAAACATAAATAAAGTAATAGAATTTAAATCAAGTAAGTGTGTTCTCTCACCACAATGGCACCAAACAAATCCACAGAAACATAAGAGGAAAATTACTTAGTAGCTTCTAAATAATCTAAAATTACTTAGACGCTTCTAAAGAAAAAGTCTCAAGAGAAATTTTTAAAAATACAAGGAACAGAATGAAAATGAAAATACCATTATCAAAATTCACAGGATATAGTAAAACCACTGCTGAAAGGGAAATTTATGCCACCAGGCAAGCAGAATAAAGGAAATAAGAGTAGAAATCAATACAATTAAAAACAGAAAATAGAAAAAAAATCAATGAAACAAAGCCAATTCTTTGAAAAGATCAATAAAATAATCTTCAAGCAAGGGTGGAAAATACAAATTACTAGTATCAGCCATGAAATAGGATGGATCTCACTAACTATACACCCTACAGAGACATCAAAAGGATAATAAATAAATACTAGAAACAACTCTACATACAAATTTGATAAGCTTATGAAATGGATCAATTCTGGGACAACAAATTACCAAAATAAATACAATATGAAATAGATCATTTGAATAGCCCTATATCTATGAAGAAAATTAAAAGCTCCTGAAAATGTGCTTACCTATGTTTAGGCAATAGAAAAATGAATGAATGAATGAATGAAATGAAATAAACAAAAGCTCCTGAAAGTAAAATCTCTAAGCACAGATTGTTTCATCAATTCTACCAAATGTTTAAAAAAAAAAAAAACACCAACTGTACATAATCTCTTCAAAAAGTTAATGAATAAAAACAGCTAATAAATTCAGCAAAGTCTGGCCAGGCATGGTGGCTCACGCCTGTAATCCCAGCACTTTGGGAGGCCAAGATGGGCAGATCGCCTGAGGTCAGGAGTTCAAGACCAGTCTGGCCAACATGGTGAAACCCCGTCTCTACTAAAAATACAAAAATTACCCGAGAATAGTGGCAGGCGCCTGTAATCCTAGCTACTCGGGAGGCTGAGGCAAGAGAATCACTTGAACCCAGGAGACGGAGATCGCAGTGAGCGGAGATGACACCACTGCACTCCAGCCTGGGCGACTCAGCGGGACTCTGTCTCAAAAATAAATAAATAAATAAGTTAGCCAGGTGTGGTGGCGCACACCTGTGATCTCAGCTACTCAGGAGGCTGAGGCAGGAGAACTGCTTGAGCCTGGGAGGCAGAGGTTGCAGTGAGCTGAGACTGTGCTACTGCACTCCAGCCTGGGTGGCAGAGTGAGATTTTGCCTCAAAAAAATAAAAATAAAAATAAAAACAAATTCAGCAAAGTCAAGGATTTAAGATCCATATACTAAAATTGGTTTTATTTCTAGACACTTTAGTAGCCACTCTAGACAATGAAATTAAGAAAGGGATGCCATTTACAAAAGCATCAAAAAGAATAAATGATTTAGGAATAAATTTAACCAAAAAAGTCCAAGACTTATACACTGAAAACTATAAAATAATGTGGAAAAAAAATTAAAGACCTAAATGCACAAAAAGACACATGAAGTTTATGGACTGTAAGACTTAACGCTTTTTTTTTTTTTTTTTTTGTGAGACAGAGTCTTACTCGGTCGCCCAGGCTGGAGTGCAGTGGTACCATTTTGGCTCACTATGACCTCTGCTTTCCATGCTCAAGTGATCCTCCCTCCCACCTTAGCCTCCTGAATAGCTGGGACTATGGGCACGCACCACCATGCCTGGCTAATTTTTGTATTTTTTGTAGAGACAGGGTTTCGCCATGTTGCCCAGGCTGGTCTCAAACTCCTGAACTCAAGCAATCTGCCCACCTTGGTCTCCCAAAGTGCTAAGATTAGGCTTAATACTATTAAGATGGCAATACTTTTTAATTAATCCACAGATTCAATGTAATCCCTGTCAATCTTTTTTGAAGAAATAGACAAGCTGATCCTAAAATATACATGGAAATGCAAGGGACTCAGAATAGCTAAAACAACTTACAAAAAGAAGAACAAAAGTGAAGGTTGATACTTCACAATTTCAAGCCTTATCAGAAAACTACAGTAATCAAGACAGTGTGGTATTAGCATTAGGACAAACGTATAGAGCAATGAAATAAAATCAATAGTGCAGAAATACACTCCTATATATAGATGGTCAAATTAATCTCTACAAAGGTTCCAAGACCATTTGATGGGCAAAGAACAGTCTTCTTAAAAAACGGTGTTAAGACAACTGACTACAGGTATTGATCAACTTACGACCTATGCAACTTACGACCATTTGACTTTACGACCACAATCGCTAGCCACGACTGCTCCGCGTCTGGCAGCGCAAACGTTGCCCAGCTGGGCGTACAACAGTGCGGAACAGCTTCCGGCAGCACTACCATCTCCGCGTGCACCATTTCAACTGTTATCCCAGACTCGGTACAGCAATTTGTGTTTTGTGTCTTGGATATTTTTCATCAAACTCCTCCCAATAAACTTTTATACATTTCGAAGCAATGGACCCAAACATGGAACGATTTGCAAGGACTGAACAGATGGCGCACGATGTGTTTCGTCCATATCGTGAAATTTATGAAGAAAAAAAGAAACATACAATTCAGACAAAGCTCACCATGTTTATGAAAAAAACAACTCCGGTAACCCCAACTGCTGCCTCAGATGACGCCATCAACGATCCGCAGCCAAGCACTAGCGGCCAATAAAATGTTTCGTACATGTTTATATATTTTGATATGTTTTGCAATGGGGAAAATGTTTCCTATGGTATTTTTTACACCTGTATTTTTTATTTTTGTATGCACCTGTATTTTGTAATTTTGTATGTTTTGCAAATATTAAACCAGTTGTACTGGTAATGCAGTGTTTTACTTAAACCTGACCAATGTAAAAATAAGAAACAAAATGGTGTAGAGATGATACAAATGGCATAAAATGAACAAAGAAAATTATGATATATAACAATAATGAAAGAAAATTATGATAAAATATACTTAAAGATTTTTATAACATCATTTCACAGTACTGTACATATAGCCTACTCAACTTATGACCAAATCGTGTTACGACCGGTCTGTCGGAACCAATCGTGGTCGTAAGTCGAGCACTAGCTATATTCACATGCAAAAGAATGAATCTCAACCCACACCTCACACTGTATAAAAAGTTAACCCTCAATGGATCAAAGACCTAAATGAAAGAACTAAAACCACAAAACTCTCAGTAAAAAACATGTATGCATAAATCTCTGTGGCCTTGGACTGGGCAATGGTTTTTTTTTTTTTTTGAGATAGAGTCTTGCTTTGTTGCCCAGAAATGGAGTGCAGTGGCATCATCTCAACTCACTACAACCTCCGCCTCCCAAGTTCAAGCAATTATCCTGCCTAAGTAGCTGGGATCAGAGGTGCACACCATTACACCCAGCTAACTTTTTGGATTTTTAATAGAGACAGGGTTTCACCATGTTGGCCACGCTGGTCTCAAACCCCTGACCTCAAATGATATGCCTGCCTTGGCCTCCCAAAGCGCTGGAATTACAGGTGAGAGCCACCACACCAAGCCTGGCAATGCTTCCTTAGATATGACACCAATAGCACAAGCAACCAAATAAAAAAATACATTGGATTTCATAATTAAAAAAAAAACCTTTCCTCTGCAAAAGACCCTAGGTTAAGAGGATGAAAACAAAAGCTACAGACTAGAAGAAAATATTCACAAACCACATATCCAACCAAGGTCTAGAATACGGAGAACTCTCAAAATTCAAGAGCAAAAAAACAAACCAATTAGAAAACAGGGAAAAGACAAGATGAAGCATTTCACAAAAGAGGGTATTCAGACAGCAAATAAACACATGAAGACATGCTCAACTTCATCAGCCACTAGGGAAGTGCAAAGGCAAACACGGTATCACTATAAACCTATCCACAGGCTGAAATGAAAAATAGTGACAACAGCAAATGCTGGTGAGAATGCAGAGAAAGTGAATCAGTCACACCTTACTGGTAGAAATATAAACAGTATAGCCACTCTAGAAAATATCTGGCAGTTTCTTGAAAAACTATACATGCAACTACCATGCAATCTAGCAATTGCATTCCTAGGCATTCATTCCAGAGAAATGAAATTTATGTTTACATTAAAACCTGTACATGAATGTTTACAGCAGGCTTATTCATCACAGACAAAAACTAGAAACAATCCAGATGTCCTTCAATAGGTGAATGGTGAAGTAGACTGTGTTATATTCACACCAGGGAATATTGATCAGCAATGAAATGGAAGGAGCGACTAATATGCACAACAACCTGGATGAATCTCCAAAGAATTATGCTGAGTGAAAAAGGTTATATTAAAAAGTGGAAGAGTTTTTATTTCATTTGTATAATTTTTTTTTTTTTTTTTAAAGAAACAGGTCTTGTTTGTTATACAGATTGGACTGCTATGGCACAATCATGGCTCATTACAGCATTTAACTCTTAGACTCAAGCTATCCTTCCATCTTCGCCTCCCAAGTAACTGGGACTACTGGTGAATGCCACCACATCCAGCTAAGTTTTCTATTTTCATACTTCGTAGAGACAGGGTTTCACTATGTTGCCGAGGACAGTCTCCTGGCCTAAAGCAATCCTCCTGCCTCAGATTCCCAAAGTGCTGGAATTACATACATAATCCACTATGTCTGGCCAACTTTCTTGAAATAACAAAACTATAGAAATGAACGGGTTGGTAGTTGCCAAGAATTAAGGAAGGGGTAGGGTAGAAGAGAAATGGCCCTGTGGCAATTATGCAAGATCTTTGTGGTGATGGAAATGTATTGTACTGTATTTTGACTGTATCAAGGTCAATATCCTTGTTGTGATATCGTATTATACTTCTGCAAGATGTTACCACTAGGGAAAATGTACTCAGGATCTCTGAAATATTTCTTATAATTACACATGACTCTACAATTATCTCAAAATAAAGTTTAATTTTTTTAATTGCCTTTAACATATACATACAAATAATAATCTGGAGAGTTTAACTTAAAAACTTATTTTTAGCAGGAAATCTTTTTCATTCTGAAGAATTCAAGATATAATTCAGCTGTATCCTATCAGAACCTAAAATAATACACTTTATTAAATATAAAGTTGCTATGGTTATGATTTTAGTAGTTACGGGCATATCAGCAGCAACTATTAAAAGATATGGCGTAGCTGTCATGGTGGACACAAATGAACCAATGTTCTATACCTCCAATTCCATCTCAAAATGGGGATAACTCTACACCTTACAGGAAAAATAACATACTGAAAACACTAGGTAAGATTTCATGTGAAGTACTTTGAGGAGATAAGTATAAAAGGAATATGAGCTACAGATTATGGGGAGAAAGAAAATATTAAGCTTATTCTACCACAAAGGACTCATTTATTCTAAGTAGAGTTCCTGTTCCTCATGCTAAGATACACCTAAAGGCCAGGCATAGTGGCTCACGCCTATAATCTCCAGCACTTTCAGAGGCCAAGGCAGGCAGATCACCTGAGCTCAGAAGTTCAAGACCAGCCTGAGCAACATGGCACAACCCTGTCTCTACCAAAAATGCAAAAAAAAAAAAAAAAAAAATAGCTGGGCATAGTGGCACATGCCTGTGGTCCCAGCTACTTGGGAGGCTGCAGGACGATCATTTGAATCTGCAAGGTTGAGACTGCAGTGAGCCTAGGTGACAATGGGAAACCCTGTCTCAAAAAAAGAAAAGGGGGGGGGAGACAAAACACATGCAAAACTTTAAAGACCTGTACCAATATACGTAGGAGGTGTATACCTGCTAACTGTAATACAGATTCAGCCATTTTTATTAATATTATACAAAGTATAGTTCTGAAGGAAAAATGCAGCAGGGAAAAAAAAGAGCAATTGCTGAGCATTGATGGGAGATTAAGATATTAAGAGTAGAAAGTCAGCAGTAAGAACCTACTGTATTTGGCTGATTCACTTTTTTATCTTCTAGATCCTTGAATTTAGATCGAAAAGATACCATTTTCTCCTGAAGTTCTGGTGTACACAGTTCATACATATCCAACATAAGAGGAAATTTAACATCCTATATACAAACAAACAAAAAACATGTATAAATACTTTTATAAAGATACTTAAAGTATCACACATTTGAAGTAATTCTTTCATAATTCAAATACAGTTGAAAACAAAATCTGTGAAAATCATTTGGAAATGTGCATTTGAAAACCTCTTAAGAGTGCCCATTTTCAAGAATGATCTGGTTATAACATTTTTAAGGTGAGAAATTTTCAAAACATGTTTTTGCATTAAATACTCTAATCCACAAAACTAACCACAGAGTTACCTGACAGAATATCTAATATTTCAGAATTAGATAGCTGCTCAGAAAATAATGGATCTCCCAAACTGGAATAAACTTATGTTTGTTTGTTTTTAATCTGAAATACAACTTTACATAGAAATAATAGTGACATAGTTCAATACCTTATAGTAATATGTATTTAAAGTATACACCACTAGATACTTAAACTACATTTAACCTTCTCATACAACACTAAGTATACTGGAAAATGTACTAAGAATTTCAGATCAAGAGGCTAACATGATAGGCCTCTCCCAGGACTCTATGGAGATGTAGCAGAGCTACAGCTCAACAAAAATAGATTCTGAGGCTGGATACTAACTCAAGGGATTACAATTTTAGTATTCTTTGGGTACCAGTGATTTAACTCTCTCTCCTTTCACGTGAAAGAAAGGAACCACTTACAGTGCAGAGTGTTATCACTCGCTACCTCGCTTCCATCCCCAAACTTACTGATTCTGTATCCCTAAAGATGAGGATGTGGTCTAGGGCACTATTTCTGGGGAGTGCAGGAAAACCCTCAGAATTATATGTGAATCTTTTGAAAAACGTAATACCCTAGGCCCCACCAAAGACTTAACCAGAAAAAAGACAACAGATAATTCTAACATACGTTCTTAGTTAAGAATCACTTGTCTAATATTAACAACTCCCCTAAATATTTCAAAGAAAACTTAACTATTCCTAAAGGAATAAGGAAAGCAATTGTAAGTTAGCAATTACCTTCAAAGAATTATATTTCTTAAACAAAGCAAAGTTCATTGCTAACCTTAAGAACTTTGGCATTCACAGATTCCTTCTCTTTATAAAAAAATCGAACCATCTGAATGGTCAAGTAAGCAGGAAGCCGGCTGATCTTGGACTGAGGAGAGAAAATGGAAAGAAATCCCATTACATCAAAATAACACATAAGTTTTAATCTTTGGTGGTAAAAATTAAGACTGGATAAAATTAATTAACGGTAATCTTTCACTGAAGCAGAATTTGATTTCAAAAGGATTGTATGACTTACAGATTTGATGTACAAGGCATTTCTTTGTAATGTTGGAGACTGTTTGGTGATTTCTTCCTGAAGTCGCTAAAAAAGAACATAACAGAAGACCAAACATTAAAAACTTTTATTGGCCATGAGTAGTGGCTCACGCCTGTAATCCCAGCACTTCGGGAGACAGAGGCGAGCGGATTGCTTGAGGTCAGGGGTTTTGAGACCAGCCTGGACAACATGGTAAAACCCATCTCTACTAAAAATACCAAAATTAGCTGGGCATGGTAGTGTGTGCCTGTAGTCCCAGCTACTCAGGAGGCTGAGGGAGGAGAATTGCTTGAATCTGGGAGGCGGAAGTTGCAGTGAGCTGAGATACCGCCATTGCACTCCAGCCTGGTGACAGAGCGAGGCTCCATCTCAAAAAATTTTTTTAAATTTTTCTTTCTGCAATATAGAATCACACCACTAAGCCTTTTAAAAATTAGCACTACTTAATTGGCAATTTATAGTACATTAATGGATTTATATCTCTGAGAAATAATTTGATGACAATATGGGAAGACTTTTAGATACTGTTCCATTATTATAAGGCATCAAATAATTTATGCTGTTGTGGACTCCTCTGAGTGTAAATACTGTTTGATGTTTTCAGTAATGGCCCAAATGATGCTTAGATTCAGAGAATTTTATAACAGAGCTTTGTCATTCCTATTTATGGATTATCAGAATATTCACCATATAGGAAAATTAAGAGAATGCAGGAAACTCTTGTCCTTTATGTTTTATGTATAAAACCCAATCAGGACCAATCAATTATTGTTAAATTTGAAAAAAAGACGTAACACAGAAAACCTCTGTTAATCTAACAGATGTGGGAAAGTCTTTAAGCCACTGCATATATCTTAACCAGAATGATAACCTTTCACTTCTTACAGCCCATGTGACAATGCGAAAGGTAATCCCTCCAGGCATCATTCGGTAAAGGTGGCAGTGGTAATCTACGTTATAGTGCTATTGTTAGAATTACAGTCAGTACATGTAGAAAACCTGGTAAAATATTTGGCATATACTCTACATTTAACACACATTCACTACTCTAATGTTATGTAAAAAATTAGCACTACTTATGTGCTCTGCTTTAAGAATATAAACAAAAAAGAAATTAGAATTAAAATAATTACTGGTAAGGTTTAAGCATGTTACACTTGTATAATAATTTTTAATGTCTGATTTTTTAAAATTACTAATCACATTACAAAAGGAATCACTGTGGAGTAGCTTTTTAACATTTAACCAAGTTTATTCAGTAGCAAAGAAACAGAGAAATGGAGCCAAATTACTCAAGAATTATCAGAACAAATGATGATAAAACATCTTAATGTTATAAAGTAAATAAATGCATTTTAGGAATACATGTTTTTCAAGAAAATATATCTGGTGAAATCTTAATATTATCACCAATCCACTATCATCTAGACCTTCTAGGTATGTTCGGTTCTCCTATACTTTTACAAAATTGTGAAGAAAATACCATCCTGGAGAGTCCCTGCCAAAGCATTCCACTCCACAGTCTCCAATTAACACTTAGACTTCATTTTTTGGTATATCCTGAAACTCGTACATCATGCCTTACATGACTGTACTCCTGGGGATTAACTAGTTTTGTGTGTTTTTGTTGTTGTTGTTGTTGTTTGAAACGGAATTTCATTCTTGTTGCCCAGGCTGGAGTGCAATGGTGCAATCTCAGCTCACCGCAACCTCCACCTCCCAGGTTCAAGTGATTCTCCTGCCTCAGTCTCCTGAGTAGCTGGGATTACAGGGATGCACCACCATGCCTGAATAATTTTGTATTTTTAGTAGAGTCAGGGTTTCTCCATGTTGGTCAGGCTGGTCTCGAACTCCCGGTCTCAGGTGATCTGCCCACCTTGGCCTCCCAAAGTGCTGGGATTACAGGCGTGAGCCACCACGCCAGGCCGTTTTGTGTGTTTTTAAATATATCTCTCTTAAAAGTCACTAAGTTCATATCCAGACCACCTCAAAACTCTTCCCTCAGTATCACAACACAGAGCATGACTCAGTCTCTCTTATGTCCATTTACCAACCCCTCCCCTTGCCAGCCTTACCTCAAACTGTAGATGAGAACCCCCAGATAACAAATCATCTTAACCATATAATCCAAGCCCCACTTCAGTGTTTATCAACCCACCCCCCTCTATCCAAACTCGGCCTCTGCACAAAAGACCTATTCCAATGCCATATCATTTTTTACTTTTCTTCCTTCAAGACCTCTCCTTATTGGTCATGGTTAGAGGAGATAGCAAAAAGGATCAACCAAAATTTTTTAAACTTCTGCCCTCCAGGCCCTTCTTCAAATATTTAGATGTTGCAATGGCTTTTATTTATGTATTTATTTTTCATACAACTGTGTTTCGGAAGAAGCTAACTTTTAAAATAAACAATCCTAATTATCAGTGCTTTTGAAAAGTGGAATCACACGAACTGCAATTTGAAAACTATTAAAAGACATCAGTTCAAATGGGGAGATCCTTCAAGAGATATACATATTGCCAAAGCATACCAAATTAATAGGTCAGCAAGCAAAACCGTATGTTTTATCTGTAGGCTTATTAGCAGTATGGAAGCTGACATTTTATGTGAGTCTGCATATTCTTTAGTATGGCAATGGAAAAGCAGCACTAATTAAATAATCAGAGAAGCAAGTTCTAGTTCTGGTTCTGCCAAAAGCCAAATAGGTTACTTAAATTCCAGGGCCTCAACTGCAAGACAGTACAATGGGAGAACGGCTACATGCTCTGATTTGCAGAGGACAATCCCAGTTTACAGTGCATAATACCCTCATTCACCCTCCACCAAAGTGTCCTGATTAGACAATACATTATATGACCACCCTTAATGGTTAAGAGCACAAACCTACAAACAACCCTATAGTTACTCTCCTTTTCATGTAAGAAAACAGAAGCTTAGATTAAGTGACTTCCCTTAAAGTTCATAGTTCAACTAAGTTACAAGGCCTATGAAAACAACTATCTCAAAGGAAAAAGTAAATCTTAACAAACATGTAAATTATTCAACAAACATTTCTTGAGTGCTTTAAAATAAAGCAAGGTGCAACACAAAGCACTAGGTGCTTCTTCACAGTGTGACGCAGGAACATCCATTATTTGTTAGCATATGCAACCATGTCAATACTGCTTTTGTCTATGAAATGAAAAGCTAGTTGAAGTTTGTTTGATTTCTGACTATAGAGTTGATTTTGCTAGTCACAATAATTATGTTCTACAAAGTCACGACAAGCACTTAATCAGTGAATACTGAACCACTGCTTCTAGGGGAAATAACAGGATTAGATTCCCGCCAGCCTTTGGTCACAACATTTTCATCAACCAATCCATATATAACCTTGTTTTCTGTGTGTTTCTGTTTAAAGACATCTTATTTCACATACTGTGTTGATTCACTAACATTGAACTCAGAGACAACAGCACAACCCAGGCCCAACTCATGCGTCTCTAAAATGTGTATTTTCTCAGTAAGGCACATCACAGCCTTCCCAGACTTAGAAACAAGAGACAGCACTCAGCCCTATGCTTGGGGGTCATCAAACGGTGAAATCACCAACAAAAAGCAGGGGAAAAAATGCACTAACATTTCTGCAAAAATGGTATTTGTTTACCAAGCTAAAACAAGAAGACCAAGTACTTGTTTGACCTCAGCTTCGACCGTGTGTATCAGGCAACTCAAAATGCGTGCTGCTCTGCACATGGCTACAAATGACCATTAAAGCTCAGCGTATAATGACTTTGGCTTATTCACAAACAATGAGATTGATTGTGATTGTTCTTACCAATTTAAGTCCTGTAAAAAGGTACTTGACTTCCTGATTGATAAAACAGCTAAGCTGAAGTTGATTTTCCTTTCCTTTGGTGACTTCTTCTTCTTCAGATTCTGTACATTTCATGCTTTGTAAACTAAGATAAGGAATATGCCAACACGTATTCAATTTGTTATATGGTCTTGAATATAATTAATATCCTAATGCCATTAAAATTAACGGTATCATTCATTGGCATTTAAAATATTTTAGTCTCCCAATAAAGATTCATTTCAACATACTTACGAAATGTTCATTTGGCTACCAACAATTCTATAAACAACAATGAGTAATGAATGTGTATTAAAAGATAAACTGCAATAAACTCTAAACAAATATAAACTGGTATTTAGTATCATCTTATGGTCTTAGTAGCCCAAAGGTACATAAACACACACTTTTTCTAAGTTCTTCTAACCATGACCTAGAAAACAGTACTTCCCTGATTCATGTTTTATTAACTGGTTCAATCTCATATATATAGTTGGTACACACCATTTCATACAATTAAAAAATTAATTCTTTTTTATTTTAAAAGTTATTATTACCAGTCACCTTGACATATAAGAAATTAATTCTTTATAAGGTGAATAAAAATGAGGTAGACTCTGCAAAATATGTTCTTAGAAAAAATATCCTTCAAAAAATTTATTTAAAATAAGCATATGAATAAAAACATAATGAATATCCTATTATCCTTCAAGATCACTCCAATGTGTATATTTTTCCAAATTCCTAATTTCCACTATTATATTTTTTTAGGTATAAAAACCTCTGGGACAAGTGTGGTGGCTCATGCCTGTAATCCCAGCAATCTAGGAGGCCAAGGCAGGTGGATCATCTGAGGTCTGGAGTTCCAGATGAGCCTGGCCAACATGGTGAAACCCTGTCTCTACTAAAAATACAAAAAATTAGCTGGGCGTGGTGGTGGATGCCTGTAATTCCGCTACTCAGGAGGCTGAAGCAGGAGAATCTCTTGAACCCAGGAGGCAGAGGTTGCAGTGACTGGAGATCACACCACTGCACTCCAGCCTGGGCAACAAGTGTGAAACTCTGTCTCAAAACAAACAAAAAATAAACCTCTGAATGGCCGGACCCAGTGGCTCACATCTGTAATCCCAGCATTTTGAGAGGCCAAAGTGTCTGGATCACCTGAGGTCAGGAGTTCGAGACCAGCCTGGCCAACATGGTGAAATCAGTTTCTACTAAAAATACAAAAATTAGCTAGGCATGGTGGCATGCACCTGTAATCCCAGCTACTTGGGAGGCTGAGGCAGGAGAATTGTTTGAACCCAGGAGGTAGAAGTTGTACTGAGCCAAGATAGCACCATTACACTCCAGCCTGGGCAACAAGAGCGAAACTGTGTTTCAAAAACAAACAAACAAACAAACAACAACAAACCCCTCTGAAGGGCCAGGTGCAGTGGCTCACACCTGTAATCCCAGCATTTTGGGAGGCCAAGGTGGGTGGATCACATGAGGTCATGAGTTTGAGACCAGCCTGGCCCACATGGTGAAACGTTTTTTCTACTAAAAATACAAAAATCGGCCAGGCGTGGTGGTGTGTGCCTGTAATCCCAGCTACTTGGGAGGCTGAGGTAGGAGAATTGTTTGAATCCAGGAGGCGGAGGTAGGAGAACCCAGCAAGTCGAGGTTGCAGTGAGTCGAGATCACACCACTGCACTCCAGTCTGGGTGACTAAAGCGAATCTGAAGAATTTTTCTTCTACCCCACCACCACACCAAACAGTCAATGATGCTATTTATGCCAATTCTAGCAAGGTGTAACTATAGTCTATACAAATCTTGGCTCATAAGGATACGTAGTTTCAAATTCAACACCGAAGAACTGATCAATTAAGCTTTTCTTTTTAGAAGGTGTAGCTGCTGATGCAGATGAAGAGTCTGTCTGCAAAAATTAAAACAAAATAAAAATTTCAACTTTAATTTATATAAATATTAATGTATATTTTCTTCCACACAATCCAGTTTAGTAATATATATTTAAGCTTTTAAAATGTTCCTTACTGTAAAATCCTTCTGTTCAGAAAACATTACCAAAACTCATCAATGAATTCAGTTTAATAAATACATTAAATTTAAATGTCATATGCAAGCTTCCAAATTCTGACTACAGATTGAGCATCTAAACTATTTAAATACACATCCACCCATTAAGATGAACTTATTTTAAGCCTTTGAAGGGAAAACAAACAAAATATCAAGGTATAATGAAAGTCTAAAGTCAAAAATATATTTTAATTACCTCTTTAACAGAATCATCCTCTATGGCTTCCAATTTCTGTTGCAATACTCGCATCATTTGTATCCAACATTCATTAGCATCCTGTAACATAAAAAAAAGACAAAGTAAGTAATCCTGGCAGTTAATGATCTACAAAATTCTTCCAAAATAATTACTGTCTCCCAGGCATGAAAGCTGTTTCTTTGTTTAAAAATATTAAGCCAAATTAGATATATGATATTCCAAAAAATAAAGAATTCTAGAATAGCTTATTCATTCAACAGACATCTGCTGAGCTCCAATTTGTGCTAAATGTACTAGATACTCAACATAACAGCAGTGAAAATATAAAATTCAGGAAGAGATAAGCATTATGAAGGGGGGAAAAAAGCAGGATGGAAACAGTAAGTGAGCATGGGAAGGCAAGTGTGCTATTTCAATAAAGAGGCAGGGAAAGCCTGAGGCTTTGGCCTTGGAGTCATGAGACCTGAAGGAGGTAAGGGAGCAGTTCTTGAACTTATCTGACAGCCAAAGGAACAAGGGCAAAGGCCCTGCACGAAGAGGGCACTTGAAGGGTTTAAGGAAGATCAAGGAAGCCAGGGCGGCTGGAGAGAGGCAGGCAAGGGGCAGACTTGCAATGACAAACTCAGAGAGAAAGCCAGGGGCTAGAGGATATAGGTCTACAGTAGAAAATCACTAGGGAGTACTGAACGAGGGGCCAACATAATCCTATCTTCATTTTAAAAAGGACAATGGGGGCTGTGTAGAGAAACTGCAAAGGGGCAAAGGCAGAAGCCAGATGATCAGTAGGACTACTGTGTGGCGCCAGGCAAGAGATAGTGGTGGCATGAACTAGAGAAGACTGATGTTTATATTTCAAAATATGTCCCAATAAGTATGGTAAATGTAGGAAATCTAAGTTTTACATTTACAGAATGAAAAATGCCTTGCCCTAATTACCTGTTGAAGATACTGTCCTTGTTCACCCTTCTCAGCAAACTGTGGGAAAGCCATGTGCAAAAACTGCAGTAGAATAATAGGTGGAATACTGGAAGAAGTTTTATCCATGGAATCAAACAAATCTCTAAGGGCTTAAAGACAAAGCAAACACTGCCTTAGTAAAACAGTCACATATTTAATACATGCTACTATAAATTAATTTTAATTAATACAAACAAAAACCTGCTTAAAATTTTCTTTTTGAAATAAAGTCTTGCTCTGCCACCCAGGCTGGAATGTGCAGTGGCACAATTTCGGTTCACTGCAACCTCTGCCTCCCAGGTTCAAGCAATTCTCCTTCTGCCTCAGCCTCCCAAGTAGCTAGGATTACAGGTGCATGCCACCAAGCCCAGCTAATTTTTAAATTTTTTTAGTAGAGATGGGGTTCACTATGTTGGCCAAGCTGGTCTCAAACTTTTGACCTTGTGATCTGCCCATCTCAGCCTCCTGAAGTGCTGGGATTACAGGCATGGGCCACCGTGCCCAACGACTTAAATATTTTTAAGTGTATCTACTTTTCAACAATTGTTGGACTCCCCATAAGAAAAAAAAATTCATTTTTAAATCTTAAAGAACTCACCGGAAGACCTTACAAAGCAATCACTAGCTATAAACAACTTTTGAGCCCTGCCTCTCTCCTTCTTCTTGCCAGCCTTTGTCTTCCCAAACAAAGCAGGGTGTTTTAATTCAGTACAGAGAACACATGACCTCTGTCTAGGGACCAAACAGGCTTAATTTATTGTTCTGCTACTCTGCCACGATCAGGACAGCAGGTCACCTCTCCCAAATTACCTCCCTTTAAACCTATAGTTGGTTCCCATCTACTCAATTGCTGGAGATTGAAATCTGGGTCCTTTAACAGCTGACTCTACTGGACAGCTACGAACCAAAACTATTAATAATGTACCTTCTTCAGAAAACCTTCTTTCCACTTACCCCTCTCAGCAGCATGAATCTCACAGTCACAAACTCAGCTGTTCTCTTAGAGTTTGAACGATTTCTCCTCTATTGACTTCCTAGTGATTATACCTTGCCCTGGCTTCATGTACAGCAAAACTCTTACTCTAGCTTATCTTAACTTGTATGTTTTATTGATACCCAAGATATGAAATGTCATCTAACATCATTATACAGACAACCCACCAAACACTACAGCATCTTAGCACAAAGCATGAGCTCAATAAAATGTCCCTGAATAACAAAACTGAAGAAGGCTGAAATTTGTGCATGAATTCACTACCAAGCTAATTATTTTTTTAAATAAAAGCCTACATTTTAATAATACTTTACACACTACTCAAAAAAACAGATGATTTAAGATCTAGTATATACCATCAATAGAGCATCTCAAAAGTATTTCATTACTCTGACAGAAAAAGGTCAAGAAGAAATCTAGATTAAAAGGGACTAATAAGACATAAAAACTAAAGGTAAGTGGGATCCTAAATTGAAACCTGAAGCAGGAATGAAAATCTTTTTATTGGATAATATTGGGACAGGTGGCAACATTTGAATAAAGACTATTTTAGAGTACTGTGTGAAACTCCCAAATTCTGAAAAAAATGTTTTCTGAGACAGTGTCTCACTCTGTCGCCCAGGCTGGAGTGCAGTGGCACAATCTCAGCTCACTGTAACCTCCGCCTCCCAGGTTCAAGTGATTCTCGTGCCTCAGCCTCCTGAGTAGCTAGGATTATAGACATGCTTCACCATGTCTGGCTAATTTTTGTATTTTTAGTAGAGACGGGGTTTCACCATGTGGGCCAGGTTGGTCTCAAACTCCTAGCGTCAAGTGATTCACCCGCCTCAGCCTCCCAAAATGCTGGGATTACAGGCCAGATTGTGAAAATTAAGAATTGTCTTGTGGTTATGAATGTCCTTACTGTTAAGAAACACATACTGAAGTATGCAGGAATAAAACACTTGATGTCTGACACCTTATTCTAAAATGGTTCAGAAAAAAAAATTACATGAATAACAGAGAAATGAGAAACCAAATGCGACTAAAAGTAACTCATGAATTCTTACAACTTTTCTGTAAATTTAAATGTATTTCAAAACCAAAAGTTAAAAAGTCAAGAAGTAAAAAGGTAAAAAGAACAGTATTTTTCATCGCACCAATACTATTAGCCCCATATATGATGCTGGAGAAGCTGCTGAAATTCTGAATTATTCTTAGATACATAAGCAAACAAATGAAGTAGATATAGATGATCACATTTTCTTACTAAAAACTTTATTTCAACAAATAACTCTACTTCAAGAAAAAGATTAAAGCAAAATCTAACTGCAAATGACACAAAGAAAACGGTCAAAAATTAATGGTTGACAACAATGAGATAACACTTCATACCTCTAGGATAGCTATAGTCAAAAAGACATACAATACTAAGTTCTGGTAAGGACACAGAGAAATCAGAACCCTCATATCCTGATACCCTGGGGGAAATGTAAAATGGTGCAGCATCTTTGGCAGTTCCTCAAAAGGTTAAATATAGTAACCATACGACCCAGCAATTAATGCCACTCCTAGATATATATCCAAGAGAAATGAAAGCATTTGTCCACACCAAGACTTGTACATGAATGCCAGCAGTATTTGTAATAGTCAAAAAGTAGAAAGAACCCAAATATTCCACCAATATGGATAAATGATACGTGGCATGTCCATATAAGGGTCTCTTACTTAGCAATAAAAAAAGAATGAAGTACTGATACATGCCAAAATGTGGATGAATTTTGAAAACATTATACTAAGTCAAAGACAACAGTCACAAAAGACTACAAAATAATGGAATTATTTAATTTCATTTAGAACAAAAGCCCAGAGTAGGCAAATCTAGAGAAAATGAACACAGATAAATGTTTCGGTAGGGCGAGAAATGGGTGAGGAGGTTACTACTGGATGTTATGACGTTGCTTTTTAGTATAATCATGTTCTAAAATTAACATTTTAGTGACATTTGCACAACTCTGCGAATTAAATAAAACACAATAAATTATACACTTTAAATGGGCAGATTTTATGACATGCACACTATATCAGTAAAACTGTTAGAGTTAAAAAAGGCACGGCTGTAAAAGATTTAACAGTATTAAAATGTCCAAAGTTAGGTGGACATTTTCTTATGCAATAAAGAAACCAGTTATTTCTATCCTTTAAGATTTCTATTTCTCCTCATACACATCACTTCTTTACAGCAATACGCATTAGGACTCTCTTTTATAAAGATACATGAATTGTGATAAAATCCATCTCTGGTTATCCCTAAAGTCAACCCCAAAGATATATTATACAAATCAAACCTGAAGCCAAAATTATAATCTAAAAAATCCAAAGATTATTTTTCACAAAGGACAGACTTGAGTGGTTTATAATCTGGATAAAATAAATACCAAGTTGTTTAATGTAAGTATAACGTAAACTCCAAGCTTAATGAGGTGATGTTTTACAAAAGACATTCTGTAAACTGCAAAGGATTGTGAATGAAAAATATAATGTCTAACTCCTATCAAAAAGTAGTTTATTTAGTATACAAACCTGCAGTAATATACTGCGCTGAAGCCATTTCCCCTGAAGCTCTCAAGGCACCTGCATACCTAGAAACATTAAAGCAGAATTAAATAACAGAATTCAATTCATTCTAACACTCAAATGGGAAGAAACCAGTTAAAAGGACACCCTCGATTCCAAGTTCCTCAGAGTTGTTCCCACTTTTCCTTTTCTTCTCTTCTGGTCTTGCATTATATAGAGAGAAAAGGAATGCTGAAAAGGGAATTGAGATGAAGCCTACTTTAAGCTCTTTCCCTTTGTCGAACTCGTATAAAACAAATATTTTACTTATTTATTTTTCTTTTCTTAAGACAGAGTTTCACTCTTGTTGTCCAAGCTAGAGTTTAACAGAATGATCTTGACTCAATGTAACCTCCACCTCCTGGATTCAAGCAATTCTCCTGCCTCAACCTCCCGAGTAGCTGGGATTACAAGTGCCCACCATCAGGCCCAGCTAATTTTTGTATTTCTAGTAGAGACGGGGTTTCATCATGTTGGCCAGGCTGGTCTTGAACTCCTGACCTCAGATGATTCACCCACCTCAGCCTCCCAAAATGCTGGGATTACACACATGAGCCACTGCAGCCAGCTAAAACAAACACTTTCTGAAAGTACTGTGAAACAAAACTATCCACTAATTACAAAGAATATAAAATAACACAATCTCTGAAATAACTTGGAATAGGCATTAGATCAAAAACATTAAATCAAAAATCATATACCTACATTCAGCATGCTGTGTATGTATCATTAAAGTCATTTAAGTTTTTAGGTCAGTTTGCTCATCTGTAAACTGAGAAGCTTCTATTAAATGATTTCAAATTTGCTTTTAGCTTTATGATCCTCATTTAATTTACAACAGTACAACAAACTGGCCATGCAAAGGAAATATTCAAACCATAGTCATTACTCATATAATGTCTTATGACAAATGCTCAGAAATTATCATTCAGTTAATATCAAACATTGAGGTGGGAGGAAGACTGCATATGCACTATGATTAAACTATGCATACATACTATACACCCGCTAGAGTAATTAAAATTAAAAATTCTTTTAATTAATATCACCCAATATTGGCAAGAATGTAGAGCCATCAGAATTACAGATATAATCAATAATATGAATGGATCTTCAAACTAGATACCGAGTGAAACAAGAAAAAAACAAAAGAAAAGCACAACCTGTAAGATTCCATTTATTTTATGTTTCAGAATGTGCAAACTAATATGAGATCAGTAGTTGCTGGAAGGGTGTGGGGAGGATAAGGATTAACAGAGAAAACGCACGCACAAGAAATTTTTTGAGATGACAGAAATGTTCTTTGATAAGCAAATGGATTACAGAGAATTTGCATTTGTCAAAACTGATCAAACCAAACACTTAAGATACGTGCATTTCACTAGATGTGAATTATATCACAATTTAAAAAGCAAAACCCCGTGCTTATGTTAAGTCACAGAAAGTACTGTGTTAAATTGTATTCAATCGAAGGGTTTTGTTTTTCCTTTTTTCATTTGTTTACATCTTTCAGAAACTACTGTGACTAAACACATTTTCTTAATTTTTCAATACACAATTCACAATAATGCCTGAATTATGTGTGTTCGCTTTTAAAAACCTGAAAATCATCAAATTTCCCTGTTAAGACATTTTAGCAACTTTTTAAAAGACATTTTGAAATTAAAATGAAGTACTAATATAGCAGACATATCCCAGAACATCACTTGGGTATGTAATTAGCTATATAATTGCTGCTGTTACTGAATTTTACTTCCTGTTATAGGGTAACATGAATATGTAACTATTTCTATATTTATGGCAAAGATACACTAATGAATTCTCAATTTTTTTTGTAACTAAGAATAGGAAAGTCACAGTAATTTAATATCCAAAAAAACTTTTCATATTATAGCAATAAAATGTAATTCCTAATTAATGTAAAACAATCCAATAAGCCAAATAACATTAACACTGAAGTATATAAAGAAAAACATAGAAAATAAAAGGAGAAACTGACAGATATGAGAGAGGTTTTATAGTCAAAGGTACTGAGAATCTTTCCTTACCTCTGTCAAGTCAATAAATAAAATGTAATGATATAGAAAATCTGAATATAATAAAATTAACCTAATATCTATTGTACTTCGACACCTACAGAAAGAGGACATTTTGACTTTTCCAGCCCCTATGAAATATTCAATCATACATCAGATCAAAAAGACAAACTCAAATGTCCAAAAACCAAAAGTTATGTAGGCCACAATTCTTATCCATGGTGAAATAAAACATGTTTCTAACATATGCTTTCACATATGTATGCTTCTAAATCCACTGGCTAAACTTGGATTAAACTCTTGGGTGTGGATGTGGAACAAATGAAAAACACATATAATAGTAATGAAAATATGATTTGGTACCTCTGTTTTTGAATCTATTTGGTAAAACATACTAAAACTAAATATATACATCCCTTTATGACTCACCAGTTTCATTCATATGTATTTGTTCATATGCATACATACTCATATATACCCAACAGAAACACAAGCACATGCCCAAAAATGTACTAGAATATTCAGAATATGTTTTTTCATAATAACCAAAAACTGAAACCCAAACCAAATATTTGACAGAAGAATGGATAACAAATTGGTAGCACAGCACACAATGGAATACTACACAGCATGAATATAAATGGACTACCAATACATAGAACATGGATACACTAAACATCATGAGCCAGACCCCATTACCCAATCATCAGCCAGACAAATGTGCCCAATTTGTACACTTCTGTTCATAAAGAGTTCAAAACGGGCACAACTGATCTATGAGATTAGAAGTCAGGATAGTAATTTCCAATTTGGGAAAGATAAACAGTGGTAGTGATTAAGATCTGAGGGAATTTTTAGACTGCTAGAAGGTTTCTGCCTTTATCTTGGGTAGGTGGGTGTGTTCACCCTGGGACAATTCATTAAGCTGTACACTTATAATCTGTATACTTTTCAGCATGTTATAATTCGATAATCAAACATAAACAAACTGAGCTAAAAGGAAAAGGTAAGATACTTTCTAGTGTTTTTTGTTAACATTTGAACAGCGTCATCTAACAAACAGAACAAGCAAAATCTCAGAATTAAATGCTTTCAGTACTATACAAGAATAAATAAATAATCCATGTATGAAACTTTAAGTAGAAAATAAACAATAAAACAAGCCTAAGTTAAACAGAAATAAGAAAGAATTAATACAAACAAAAGTAGGATGAATCAGACAATTCAAAAAATTAAATGAATAAATCTAATAGCCAATTATTTCAAAACTAAAATACAAGTATCTAGGAAGATAATTAAGGGAGAAAAACACAAATATAACAAATAAGAAATGAAAATACAAAAAAAATAATAATACAGATCCAATAGAAGAATAATTCTTAAGCTAAAATACTTCAAAGACAGGACAATTTTGTAGGAAAATATAAATTACCAAAACTGGCTTTAGAAGAGAAAAGGGACATTTAAAATATCCCACTGGGCACAGTGGCTCATACCTGTAATTCCAGCAGTTTGGGAGGCTGAGGTAGATGGATCACCTGAGGTCAGGAGTTTGAGACCAGCCTGGCCAACATGGAGAAACCCCATCACTACTAAAAATACAAAAATTAGCTGGGCATGATGGCGCACGCCTGGAGTCCCAGCTACTCAGGAGGTTGTGGCAGGAGAATCGCTTGAACTTGGAAGGAGAGGCTGCAGTGAGCCAAGATCATGCCCCTGCACTCCAGCCTAGGTGACAGAGTGAGACTCCACTCCAAATAAAATAAAATACCCCAAAAAAGCTGAGTGCAGTCAATTTCACGGGCAAATCTTTCAACAACAGATCAGTCCTATAAAAATATGAAAGAAAATAAAAGTTACAGGAAAAGATGGACATAGCATAACTCTAACACCATATCCTCACAAAAAAGGGGAAAAAAAAAGCCAGAGGGAGACAGAATGGTATAAATCAGTCTTACTAACAAATGACCAAAAAATCCTTTTAAAATGTTTCAGCAAATTAAATTCAGCACTATGTACTGAAAGAATACAAATGTATCAGGAATATAATTTACAATTAGGTTATTAACCTAATGTATCATAAACAGATTCAATGAGAAAAATCTTAGAACTAGGTCCACAAACAACATTTGAAAATTTTAACATATATTTCTTATTTTTAAAAAATCTCTGGTAAACAAATGATGGAGGGATACTTTCCTAACATGCTTAAGAACATTTCCACCAAACCTGAGGCAAGGACAAGGAGAAGAAAAGAAAAAAAGAATATTTCCACCAAACCCAAGGACAATATTTAACACTAAAATACAACATTCTTATAAAAATCAAAAACAAGAAAGAATTCCACAACAATCTACTATTTAACAGTGTTCAAAGTTCTAGCCAGAGAAATACAAAAGAAATATGAAGTAAACCACCTGAAACAGATAAAACTAACCTGACTAATGGATATGATTATCTATTTAGAAATCCAAATATTAATTTAAAATATGCCTTATTTCCTCATAAATATAAATATAATAAATCATAACCATAAGTATCATCATAAATAAAATGTGTTCATTTTCAGGGTAAATAAAAACTACATTAAAATTTTCATAGAACATAAGGACTATTTCAATATTGGGGGAAAGTATATCTTAGAACCATAGAAGTCTACTATTTGAAATTAGTATGCCTGATTTCTTCCTATCACCTAGCAGGTGATTTTGATAACAAAATGATCAAGAGAAAATTCATCTAACATTACAAAATACAAAAATTCAAAACAGTTGGAAAAAATCCATCTTACTGAAAGTCAAATAAGACCTGAAACAAAGGGGAGACAGCCTATATTACCGGATGGGGAGCCTAAATATTGCAAAAATGTCAATTTACCCCAAACTTAAAGTCACTATGGTCAAAATCCCAAAGGTTGACACTCCACTACATACACATTTAGAAGGAGAAAGGCATATTGAACAACATGACTATGAAGTTCAAAGAGAAGTAAAATATGGATTAAACCACCTGGTAACACACTGAAAGTGAGTAAGAAGGATGCATTACTATACACCATATAGTTAAAATGGCATAATAAAATCAGACCTCAATAAATAAACCCAAGTAGAAAACCTAGGAACAGGTCTCAAAAATATTTAATAATAATAATATATATAATAAAACATCAATGTGTATCAATATACAATAAATGGTGACTAGAGGAAAAAAAGAGAAACCTAGATTTTTACCTTATAAGAGAAATGCAAGTCACCAATAAACTCACTAGTAAAAGTTCAATCTTACCAATAATCAAAAAATATTTATCATTATAATATTTTACACTGATGAATATGTACAGAATGTAGCATTTATATTTTTCTATCTTTTGGGATAAAAATTGCCAATATCTAAAAGATCAAACTATCCACTCTAACTTATTAGCCCACCAACTCCACTTCCAGAAACTGATCCAAAGAATCCTATGCATCAAGATATACTGCAGAAGTATTAACACGTAAGCATAAAAGCAAAGATGTGAGCACAAATTTAAGACTGTCAGAATTGATTATTGTTTATAATCAATGTGTTTGTTTAACACATGCACTGCTACATACATGTTTAAAGAAAAAACCCAAAGATAACACAAATCTTTATCCCTTTCTCTTTTTTTTTTTTTTGAGATGGAAGTCTCACTCTGTCACCCAGGCTGGAGTGCAGTGGTGCAATCTTGGATTACTGCAATCTCCACCTCCCAGGTTCAAGCGATTCTCCTGCCTCAGCCTCCACAGTAGCTGGGATTATAGGCATCCATCACTTCATCCGGCTGATTTTTGTATTTTTAGTAGAGATGGGGTTTTACCATGTTGGCCAGGTTGGTCTTGAACTCCTGACCTTCAGTGATCTGCCCGCCTCAGCCTCCCAAAGTGCTGGGATTACAGGTATGAGCCACTGAGTCTGGTCCATCTCTTTCTTTTTTTAAGAAACAGGGTTTCATTGCATTGCCCAGGCTGGAGTGCCGTGGCATGATGGCTCATATAGTTGCAAACTCCTGGGCTCAAGCAATCCTCCCAGCTCAGCCTCATGAGTAGCTGAAACTACAGGTGCACACCACCACACAGAGCTAATTTTTTTTTTATTGTAGAGATTATGTCTCACTATATTGCACAGGCTTGTCTTAAACTTCTGGCCTCAAGCTTCCAAACCCCTGGGATCACAGGCATGAGCCATCACACCCAGCCCAGGGCACACCTTCAATCTGCATAAATTAAATGTACAATGCAGTTTTCATCATATCCTGACATACAGGCTGAGAAGATGGCTGAGAAAAAGAATATCAAATATTTAGACTTTTCTGTTATTTAAAGTTTTTTTGTCAAGAACAAGTTGAAATCAGTTACTTAATGAAGATTTGTGTGTCAGGTGTGGTGGCTCACACCTGTAATCCCAAAATTTTGGCAGACTGAGTTGAGAGAATTGATTTGAGTCCAGGAGTTCGAAACCGGCCTGAGCAACATAGCCATCTCTAGTATCCACTTAAAAAAAAAATTAGTGGCCAGGCGAGGTGGCTCACGCCTACAAACCCAGCACTTTGGGAAGCCGAGGCAGGCGGATCACAAGGTCAGGAGATCGAGGCCATGCTGGCCAACATGGTGAAACCCCATCTCCACTAAAAATACAAAAAATTAGCAGGGCGTGGTGGCACACACCTGTAGTCCCAGCTACTCGGGAACCTAAGGCAGGAGAATGGCTTGAACCCTGGAGGCAGATGGTGGCAGTGAGCCAAGATTGCGCCATTGCACTCCAGCCTGGTGACAGACAGAGACTCGGTCTCAAAAAAAAAAAAAAAAAATTAGCTAGGCATAATAGCGCATGCCTGAGGTCCCACCTACTCGGGAAGCCAAGTCAGGAGGATCACTTGAGCCCAGGAGGTCAAGGCTGCAGTGAGCCATAATCATGTCACTCCAGAGGCTGGGCAATAGAGCAAGGCCTGTCTCAAAAAATAAAAATAATAATTTAAAATGTTTTAAAAATTTAAATGAAGATATGCCCTCCACAAGCTAAAAAAATGAAAATAATTTAGTGTAAGCAATCCCACATGCAATTCCACTCAATGAACATATCCACTAGACAGTTGTGAGATGAGATATGGGGCTTTTCTGCTCCGAGTGTCTCACTTCTTGCCTCTCATAATATGAGCATCTCATTGAACTGAGTGAGACTCTAGTGTTTAAAGATAAATATTTTCAGCTGTGTGCAGTGGTTCATGCCTGTTATCCCAGCACTTTAGGAGGCTGAGGCAGGCGGATCACTACAGGTGAGGAGTTTGAGACCAGCTAGACAATATAGGGAAATCCATCTCTACCAAAAATACAAAAATTAGTCAGGCATGGTGGCAACACCTGTAATTCCACCTAGAGTTTGAGACAAGAGTCCTCAGACTAAAAGTGCTCACTGAGCACTAAATAAGATAAATAAAACCCACACTCTCCCATTCTTGGAAAACTCTGGGGGAAAAAAAAGAGAGAGAGAGAGAGGGAGAAAACCCTAAAAGCTACTAACAGAAAAAATAAAAATCAGTACTCATCAGTAAGCATGGACACACAAAAATGGTGGAGAAATAACTATGGATCACTGAGGAAAAATGGCTTTGACCTAGACTCTTACTCCAAGCAATATTATCATCCAAGGATAACAGGAAAGGGTAAAATAAAGCAATATTTTGGGATATATGTAAAAGACACAGTAAGATTCTACCAAGTAACTTTTAACCAAGAATAACAATGAAAATTGTATTAAAGAATAAAATAATAATCTAGGCAGCACACTACCTAGAATTCAGAGGAAAGTTTGAACGTCAGTACTCTGCTTAAAATCTTCCAATGGCTTCTCTTTGCCCTCAACACAAAGTCCACACTCCTTAAAAATGACTTCGAGATCTGTAGCTGGCCCCTGCTAATCTCCCCTCTATCACCATTTCTACATCCATCCTTCTCCAGGCAGTCGCACTGAATATGTTGCAGTCTCCTGCCTCCAGACTCTTGCTTAAATAGTCTTTCCTCCAGTCCACTCTCACACTTCCCTAATCTCTCATCCAGGCTGATAATACCTAAGTGTTTAAATACCAGTTACTCTAAGAAGACTTCCCAAGCTATCCTTAGATACCCATCCCTTAATTAGCCCCCTTAGATGTTCTCATAGCAGCCTATATTTCCCATCAAAACAGTTCTGAAACAGTACCTGCTTATTTGATAGTCTTTGTCTATTAGACTGTAGGTGCCTTGAAGACAGATACTGTGTCTTGTTCACTGATAGTACATCAGCTGCAATCTACACAATTTCTCACAAATACCTGACAACTATTCACTTCAGAGAAATGTAGAAAACCTTTAAAGTCACTCTTTCAGATTTTTTAACAGTCCTTCTCTCCCTTCTCTTCAGTTCTATCACAACATTTCACAAGACACTGAGGGAAAAAACAAAAATCAGTATTTAAGAAGCCATCTAGAATCCAAATTGTAGTTCCAAATTCTATCATAAAAAACTGACAATTTAGTATCAAGACAGTTGTATAAATTTAGCCAGAATGAAGTTACATTTTTTTTTAGACGGAGTCTCGCACTGTTGCCCAGACTAAAGAACAGTGGCGCAATCTCACCTCACTGCAATCTCCGCCTCCTGGGTTCAAGCAATTCTCCTCCCTCAGCTCCCAAGTAGCTGGCACTACAGGCATGCACCACCACATCCAGCTAATTTTTTGTATTTTTAGTAGAGACAGGGTTTCACCATGTTGGCCAGGATGGTATCGATCTCCTGACCTCATGATCCGCCTGCACTGGCCTCCCAAAGTGCTGGGATTACAGGTGTGAGCCATTGCGCCTGGCCTTAAGTTACATATTTTTAAAGTTAAATTTATACTCACTGGAATAAGGGACCCTGATTTGTAGACTATTTCACAAGTTCTCAAAACGTGTAACTAATTCTTTACTCTTTTCCTTGTGTATGATGGTACAAAACAAAATGTTCTTTCTTTTTTAAAACCAGTACTGACTGGCATAAGGACAGACATATATATAAATGGAAAAGAATCTAGGATCCATAAATGAACTTATACATTATGGTCAACTGGCTTTCAAAAAAGGCGCTAAGGCAATTCAATGGGGAAACAATAGCCTTCAACAAATGATGCTGGAAGAACTGGATATACACATGCAAAAGAGCAGCCAAGAACACCTCGCTCCTTTCCTCCTTCCCATCATACATAAAAATTAACCACAGGCCTCAACAGAAGAGCTAAAAGTATATTAACTCTTGAAAAACAACACAGAAGTAAGTTTTTGTGACCTAGAATTAGACAATGGCTTCTAACATATGAAAACAAAAGGAGACATGACAAAAGAAAAAATTAAAATTAAGATTAAACTACATCAAAATTAAAAAACATTTGTGCTACAAACGTACCATCAAGAAAAGTAAAAGGACACTGCATAAGACAGACTTAGGAAAAAAGTAAATAAATTTTTAAAAAAGAAAGTAAAATGACAGCTTATAGTATGGAAGAAAATATTTGCAAATTATCCATTGGGTAAGAGACTTGTATATATGTAAAACCACAACTGAATTTTTAAAAAGACCACCCAATTAAAACACAGGCTAAAGATTTTAACAAATATTTCTCCAAAGAAGACATACAAACGGTCAATAAGTACATGAAAAGATGCTCAACCTCATTTATCACCAAAAAAATGTGTGCATGACAAACACAATGAGATAGCACACTTCACACCCCTACAGGGCTTAATCAAAAACAGACAATGCTAGCAACCTTCTTACATTGTTGGTGAGAACGTAAGATGGTACCGTCACTTTGGAAAATCACTGCGGCAGTTCCTCAAAAACGTTAAACATAGAGTTACTATATAAAACAGTTTATCTACACAGAAAACATGAATGTTCACAGCAGCATTACTGATAATATCCTAAAAGTAGAAACAATCTAAATTTCCATCAACAAAATAAATGGATAAATAAAATGTGATATATCCAAAAATAAAATATTATTCAGCCATAAAATAAGAAAGAAGTATTATACATGCTATAACATGAATGAACCATGGAAACATGCTAAATAAGTCAGTCACAAAAGACCATATATTATATGATTCAAGCTATATGAAATGCCCAGAATGAGTAAATCTATGACAAAAAGTAGATTAATGGTTGGCTAGGGCTGGAGGTGAGTGAAAAGGTGTAAGGAGTGACTGCCAGTAAGTATGACACTTCTTTTGGAGGGGGAGAAAATGTCCTAAAATCGATCGTGGTGATGGTTGCACAACCTTGTGAACATTATAAAAATCATTAAATACTTTAAAATTGCAAACTGTATAATAAATTAATTATATCTCAATTAAGATGCTAAAAACAAAACAAAACACTACTGCTCACCCAAATGTGAACATCCTTTACCCAAAGAAGACTTCAGTCTTACCTTTTAAGGGCATCTTTTAGTTCAGGCACAGAACGAATACACTGAACTGTAGCATTCATGTAACAAGTGTTACCAAGGTTTGTCAATCCACATGGTAACTCCATCTGGTTTAAAAAAAAAAAAGATTAAATGATTAAACCAATCAATTTTTACAAAATGACATGGCCTACATAAATCACTAAAGTTCTCATTTTGAATCAAGTAGCATTTACTAGCTTATACTAATTTATACTCTGCCTTCACTCTAAAGAAACCGTTTTATTGGCCGGGCATGGTGGTGCACACCTGTAATCCTAGCACTCTGGGAGACCGAGGTTGGCGGGCCACCTGAGGTCAGGAGTTCAAGACTAGCCTGAGCAACATGGAGAAACACCGTCTCTACTAAAAAAAAAAAAATACAAAATTAGCTGGGCGTAGTGACACATGCCTGTAATCCCAGCTACTCGGGAGGCTACGACAGGAGAATTGCTTGAACCCAGAGGCAGAGGTTACAATGAGCCGAGATCGTGCCATTGCATTCCAGCCTAGGCAACAAGAGTGAAACTCCCTCTCAAAAAAAAAAAAAAGAAACAGTTTTATTTCCCTCAACAAAAATGTTTACTTGGATCATGCTGGCCATCATATTATGTTTTAGTTTCCGTCTTAAATATAACAAGAGAATAATCATACCAGTCCTGCCTTTTTGGAGGTTTATCAAGAAAGCAGAGTAGGCAAAATATGCATAGAAACACTTCAAAACAAAAACCAAAATAACAGGTTGGGCACAGTGGCTCACACCTATAATCCCAGCATTTTGGAAGGCTGAGGAGGAAGGATAACTTGAGGTCAGAAGTTCAAGATCACCCTGGGCAACACTGCAAGACCCTGTCTCTACCAAAAAAAAATTTTTTTTAATTTGCTGGGCATGGTGGTACACGCCTACCAGTCCCCACTACTCAGGAGGCTAAGGTGGGAGGATCACTTGAGCCCAGGAGGTTGTGACTACAATGAGCTATAATCATAACACTGCACTCCAGCCTGGGTGACAAAGCCAGACCCTATCTCAAAAAAAAAAAAAAAAAAAAAAAAGCAAGAAAATGAATGAATGACACTTAATAAATGCTAGGTGTTTAAAAAGAAAAAAAAAAGTAAACATGTGACACATGTGTTGGCCAGTTTCTAAACTGACTTTACACTTAAATTCAGGATAAAATGTATGTATTTTCCAAACGAAGGATTTTAAGAATTTAAATATTCCAACATTTAAACTACTCTTTGACCCTCTTTTCTCATAAAATAATAGTAAACATTTAAATAGTACTACCTGCCAGAAACATATTTATTACAGCTATCAAATAAATATATATAAGTTAAGCCTAAGTAAATTCACTTGGAAGTCTGAAAATCAATAATAAAGCGTACAAAACAAAACAAAAAAAAAACTGTGCACTATTTAACTACAGAAGGACTCTCTTAAGCTAATCAAAAATAAAACTCTTATTTACTGCTAAAAACATCTATCTTGATATTAATAATTAAGTCTTCAAGACATTTAGATGCTACTTTCTGAAAGACACCTTAATAATGGTCCTTCAAAAAGTAGTGATCAAACGTATCAAATCTGGAGTGTCTTACGGCAGATGCTAACTGTTCTTCTGTCATGTCTTCTACAAAGACAGTTTTAGCTGAGGGTTCCTCTGGAAGAGCATCTGCTGACCCCATCATTAGCAGAGTCATTCCCTGTTTTAAAAAAAAGTAATTTCATGAAAATCCTCAAAAGTTTGTAATGTTTATGTCAAACAAAAGAAGCCAAACACAAAGAAACACGTATTACATAATTCTATTTGCCAAAAAAGTAAATCTACAGAAATTAGATTGGTTGTTGCCTAGGACTGGAGGTGGGAAGAGGGAGTGACTTTAAATGGCACAAGTTTCTTTCTGGGGTAATTGGAAATGTTCTAAAATTAGACTGTGGTGAAGGCTGCACAACTCTATAAATACACTACTAAAAATCACTGAATTGTTTAAATCAAGTAAAAAGCCACTAGGGTGGCTGCTTGAGGCCAAGGCAAAGGTGTACAAAGAAACTTTTTAGAGTGATGAAACTTCTAAATCGTGATTGTGGTGGTGGTTACATGACAATATAAAATTGCCCAAACTGTACATCAAACACAGGTGAATTTTACTCTACACAAACTGTACCTGAATAAGGCTGAAGGAAAAAATAAATATTGCCATAAAACCACCTAATAATGTTTACAATATTGAAGGGGAGGGAATTCCTCAAATGATCATTAACATTTAGTGGCACCATTTCTCTCCATAACAAATTAACAACTAATAAAATTCAGACCAGGCATGGTGGCTTATGCCTTTAATCCTAGCACTTTGGGAGGCCACGGCTGGTGGATGGCTTGAGTCCAGTTCAAGACTAGTCTGGGCAACATGGCGAAAACCCTGTCTCTACAAAAAATACCAACATTAGCTGGGTATGGGGGTGCAATCATGTAGTCCCAGCTACTTGGGGGCTAAGACGGGAGGATCACTGAAGCCTGGGAGGTTGAGGCTGCAGTGAGCTGTGACCACACCACTTGCATTCCAGCCTGGGCGACAGAGTGAGACCCTGTCTCAAACAACAAAACAAACAAAGAAAAAGCACTCATAAAATTCTTTTTGTGAATGTCTATTGTGTAACTGTAATGATTATTTACATTTGAATACAAATATTTTAAATTCACCATTACTGAAAAACATCAAACCAAACACACAAATTTGTTCAAAATATCCAATTTTGTAATTCTACACATTAACCTAAGTAAATACTTTTATTTAATACATGTGTAAACACTCTATACAGTAGAAGGAAAAGGAAGACACTGTCATTATAAAGCTTATAATCTTAAAATATGAACAACATATTACTCTCTTACTCAATATCTTAATTGGAAGGTATGAACACATGAGACAAAGAAAAAGGTAGGACCAGAAGTGGTTTAAAAACAAACAAACAAAAACCAGGGAGGGAAAAATGATAGCCAGAAGACTAAAAATATCCAGATGATCAAAATTAGGAAATTAGTAAGACCAACAAATTCAGTTAAGAATACTGATAATTAAATCTAATGACCTTTATTCTATCACCTTTTATTTCTACATAGACATTTTATAAGATCATTGGAAACCTGTAAAGCAATACTAAGCCATCACTACAGATTTTTTTTTTTTTTAACAGACAGGGATTCACTCTGTCACCCAGGCAGGAGTACAGTGGCACAATTATAGCTCACTGAAGCCTCAAGTCATCTTCCCATCTCAGCCTCCCAAAGTGCTGGGATTGTAGGTATAAGCAGGTACCAGGCCAAGACTCTTTCCAAAGACAATTGTCTTAGGAGCCAATTATTTAAAAAATATACTGGCAATAACCAGTTAGAAAACACAATAGAAGAAATGCCAACATATATCTAAGAATAAATATAACAAGAAAAATGTAATACTTTAATGAGACAAGAGTAAAGCTTTAATTAAAGATATAAAAAAAGCACCTAAATAAACTGAAGGACATAACAAGTGTATGAACTTGAAAAATTACTATAAAGATGCAATTATACATTAAGTTTAATGAAATTCCTTTAAAAACCTTGCAAAATGATTCACTCATGCAGCACATTTATATCCATGATAATAACTAAGAAATTCCTGAAAAATAACAGAGATTAAAACAATGCCCTTAAAAATTATTAGGAAAAGGGATTATATAATGAAAAATATTGAGAAAAACCGTATAATAATTTAGAAAAACACACTATCGGCTCCCCACTTCATACCACACCACAACCATAATGAATTAAAGAGTAAAGATTTAAATGTAAAAAAACTAATACTTATAAAAGAATGCAAGTGAATCAACAAACTCATGTATTGCTGAAAGATTTTCTGAAAGTGACATATTAAAAAGACTGATATAGCTAGCTACACAAATCTTAAAAGTGTCTATAAAACATCTGAAAACAATAGAGACAAAATTACACCATATATACTAAGCACTCAAAAAAGTAAATCATTAAGAATTAGTAAATACATAATACAAAAATGAGCAAAAGAGATAAAAACAAACAAACAAAAAGGCTTAAAATTAATGACCTACGTAAGCTTCTACCTTAAGAAGCTAAAGAAAGTAAAAATTAAAACCAAGCCATGTGTGGTGGTGCACACCTGTAGTCCAAGGTGGGAGGACTGCTTGAGCCAAGAGCGCAAGGGCAGCCTGAGCAACAAAGCAAGACCCCATCTCTAAAACAAACAAAAAAAGTTACCACCATTTGCCTGGATTTCAGCATTTCATTCAACAAAATATGATTACATAAAAATCTTGAAAACTTTTTAAAAATTGAAACCAAAGTAGGAAGAAATAAAGAGAAAAAATTAACAAAGTAATAAATGAACAGGCTAAAGGTGTTTTTGGGAGGGGGAAACAATCAAAGAAGCTGATAAACCTCTGGCTGGATGATAAAGAAAACAGACAAATCATAACTTGCCAATACTAGAGGAGAAAAAAAAATAGCACTACACATTCTAGAATTAAAGGATAATAACAGTAGAATATGACAATCCATTCAACAACTTAAATGAATCAATTCTTTAAAAAATACTAATTACCAAACTGATATGAAAGAAAATATATTTAGTCCTACCTTTATTAAAGATATTAAATTCTTAAAGTCTTCCTAGAAAGAAAACTCCAAACCCAGATGAAGTCTAGTGAATTAGTCTTCACCAGAGAATTTTAGGCAACATTTAAAGAAAAAATATCCTGGTGGAGTGGGAGCAGAAATAAAAAAGAAAAAAAGAAAGAAAAAATAGTAATACAAACTCAGAAAAAAGGGGATGCTTCCTAACTCCTTTTATATGACCAACATTACACTGATAGCAAAACTAGACAAAAAAGAATACAAGAAAACTACAAACCATTATCTCTTATGAAAAGAGACACAAAAAACCTTAACAAAAGACAAGCAAATAGAATCTAGCAATATATAATGTCCAAGTATTGTTTATCCCAAGAATATAAGTGCTGTTTAATACTCAAAAGTCAGTGTAGTTTACATTAATGGATTAAACGAGATTTAAAAAAATGATATATAAAAGGCATTTAACAAAATGACAAAATTCAACTTCCATTCATTACAAAATCTCTCAGCAAACTAGAAATGGAAATCCTAAATCTGATGATGAACAGCTATAAACTACCTCTAGCCATGACTAGAGGTTTTTCCCCTAAGGTCAGAAAAAAGGCAATAATGTCCACCATCAACCACTTCTACTCAGCATTGTGTTTAAAGTCTTTTTTTTTTTTTTTTTTTCTGAGATGGAGTCTCACTCTTGCTGCCCAGGCTAGAGTGCAATGGCTCAATCTTGGGTCACCACAACCTCCGCCTCCCAGGTTCAAGTGATTCTCCTGCCTCAATCTCTCGAGTAGCTGGGATTACAGGCGCCTGCCACCACGCCTGGCTTATTTTTTCTATTTTTAGTAGAGACGGGTTTCACCATGTTGGTCAGGATAGTCTCGAACTCCTGACCTCAGGTGATCCAGCCGCCTCGGCCTCCCAAAGTGCTGGGATTACAGGCATGAGCCATTGCACCTGGCAGCGTATAAAGTCTTAAGCACTGCAATAAAGAAAAAAGAGAAACAAAATGCACAGAGATTGAAAAGGAAGAAATAAAACTGTCCTTACTTACAGATGACATATATACCTACAATTTCCTAAGAAATTAACATGTAAAATAAACAAAGTCACAAGATACATTAACTTTATTTCTATATACACTAGCAGCCAACTGGAAAATGACATTTCAAAAATACCACAGCTGGGTGTGGCGGCTCACCCCTATAATCCAAGCACTTTGGGAGACTAAGGCAGGAGGACTGCTTGAGGCCAGGAATTCAAGACCAGCCTGGCCAACATGGCAAAATCCCATCTCTACTGAAGACACAAAAATTAGCCCGGCGTGGTGGTACATTCCTGTAGTGCCAGATACTCGGGAGGCTGAGGCACAAGAATTGCTTGAACCTGGGAGGCAGACGCTACCGTGAGCCATGATCACACCACTGCACTTCAGTCTGGGCAACAGAGGAAGACTCTGCCTCAAAAACAAAAACAAAAAATTAGCCAGGCATAATGGCGCATGCCTGTAGTCTCAACTATTCAGGAGGCTGAGGTGGGAGGACCCTTTGAGCCCAAGAATTCAAGGCAGCAGTGAGCTATGATTGTGCCACTGCACTCCAGCCCGAGTGACAAAGCAAGACCTCATCAGGAAAGGGAAAGGGAAGGAAAAAGGAAAGGAAAGGAAAGGAAAAAGGAAAGGAAGAAAGAAAGGAAAGAAAAAGGAAAGAAAGGGAAAAGTACCACTTATGGTAACATTAAAAACCATAAATAAGCCAGGTGTGGTAGCTTATGCCTGTAATCCCAGTACTTTGGGAGGCTGAAGCAGGCATATCACTTGAGGAGTTCAAGACCAGCCTGGCCAACATGGTGAAACCCCGTCTCTACTAAAAATTGAAAAATTAGTCAGGCATGGTGGCAGGTGACTGTAATCCCAGGTACTCAGGAGGCTGAGGCAGGAAAATCGCTTGAACCTGGGAGGTGGAGTCTGCAGTGAGCCAAAACCATGCCACTGCACTCCAGTCTGGGTGACAAAGCAAGACTCTGTCTCAAAAAAAAAAAAAAAAAAAAATCATGAAATACTTAACAATATGTGGAAAAAAATATGTTAAGTTCCAACACCGGACATTGTTGTGAGAAATGTTAAGATCTATTACCATGTTTGTGGATTAGAAGACTCAATATTGAATTGTCCCAGACTGACATACAGATTAAATGCAATTCCAATCAAAATCCCAGCAGGCTCTTATGGAGAAAATTACAAGCTGAATCTAAAAATATGCAATAGATGTACAAAGATCCCAGAATAACCAACACAACTTTAAAAAAGAAAAACATGCCAGGTGTGGCAGCTCACGCCTATAATCCCAGCACTTTGGGAGGCCAAGGCAGGCGGATCACAAGGTCAGGTGATCGAGACCATCCCGGCCAACATGGTAAAATCCTGTCTCTACCAAAAATACAAAAAAAAAAGTCAGGTGTGGTGGCAGGCGCCTACAATCCCAGCTACTCAGGAGGCTGAGGCAGGAAAATAGCTTGAACCAGGGAGTCAGAGGTTGCAATAAGGCGAGATCACGCCACTGTATTCCAGCCGGGCAACAGAGCGAGATTCCATCTCAAATAAAAAAAAAAAAAAGAAAAAAAGAAAGAAAAAGAAAACAACTGGAAGAATTAGATAACCTGAATTCAAAACTTGAAGAATCAAAACAGCAGGGAATGGGTATTGGTGTAAAGGTATATATAAAAATCAATGGAAGAAAACGGAATCCAGAAATAAACCCATATGTGTACGGTCCACTGATTTTCAACAGAGGCATTGAGGAAGACTCGAAAAGGATAGTCTTTTCAACAAATGTTGCTCACTAAACTAAATACTCATGTGAAAAATATAAACCTTAACCGTTGCTTAACAGCAAACACAAGAATTCACTCAAAACAGACAATATATCTAAATGTAAAGTTAAAACTTATTAAGCTTTAAAAGAAAACAGAAAAAAATATATATCTTATAAACTTGGCACAGACGAAGATTTCTTATAGTACAAATCACTAAAAAACGTGATAAATTAGACTTCAATAAAATTAACTTCTATCCAACAAAACAGTATTACATAGATGAAAATACAGGATACCTTGAAGATGTTGCAGTTTAGGTTCCAGAGCATGAGAAAGCAAATACCACAATAAAGCAAGTCACACAAAAATTTTTCCCCAGTGCATGCAAACATTATGTTTATACCAGTCTGTGAAATATGCAACAGCATTATAAAAGGAATGCACATCCTTAATTTTAGAATAATTTGTTGTTTTTTTAAAAAAGCTAACAATCATTTGGGCTTTCAGCGAATCACCATCTTCTTGCAGGGCGGAGAGTCTTGTTTCCAAGTTGATGGCTACTGACTAATCATGGCACTGGTTCCTGAAGGCTGTGCAATTACTTAAAATGAGACAACAATGAAATCTGCCACATCAACTGACTTCCGTTCATGAAAGAGTTCTCTGTAACTTGTGCTTTCTAACAGCATTTTATCCACGGTGGAACTTCTTTCAAAACTGGAGTCAATCCTCTCAAAGCCTGCTGCCACTTTATCAACTAAGCCTATGTAGTATTTTTAATCCTTTGTTGTCATTTCAACAACATTCACAGCTTCTTCACCACGAGTAGAGTCTAGTTCAAGAAATTACTTTCTTTGCACATCCATAAGTTAACTCCTCACCTGTTCAAGTTTTATCATGAGATTGTGGCAATTCAGTCACAATTCCAAGCTGCTTTTTTTTTTTTTTTTTTTATCTTTTTTTGTTTTTTAGATACAGGGTCTCGCTCTGTCACTCAGATTGGAGTGTAGTGGCAAAATCATAGCTTATTGTCACCTCAAACTCCTAAGCTTTAAGTGAGCCTACTGCCTCAGTCTCCAGAGTAGCTAGGACCACAGCTACCCACCATCATTCCCAACTAATTTTATTTTTCGTAAGGAGTGTCTCACTGTGTTGCCCAGGCTGGTCTCGAACTCCCAGCCTGAAGCTCTCCTCCCATCTCAGACTCCCAAAGTACTGGGATTACAGGAGTGAGCCACCACGCCTGATAACTTCTAATTCTAGTTTACTTCCTATTTCCACCATATGTGCAGTTGTATCCTCAACTCAAGTCTTGAACTCCTCAAAGTCATCCATGAGGGTTAGAATCAACTTCTTTCAAACTCCTGGTAACAATGACATTTTAACTTCCTCCCATGAATGTTCCTAATGGCATCAAGAATGCTGAATCCTTTCCTGAAGGTTTTTAATTTATTTTGCCCAGATTCACAGAGAAACAACTTTATAGGGAAAATTTAGCCTTACAAAATGTATCTTTTAAATAAGATGTGAAAGTAGAAATTATTCCCTGATCCATGGGCTGCAGAATAGGTGTTGTGTTAGCAGAGACAAAAACAACATTCACCTCATTTATCTCCCTCAAAGCTCGAGTGACCAGGTGCATTGTCAATGAGCAGTAATATTTTGAAAGGAATCTTTCTGAGCAGTGCCTTGAAATACTCAGTACTCCATGCTATAAACAGATCTACTGTCATCCAGGCTTTCTTATTCCATATACACAGCACAGGCAGCAGAGTAGACTTAGCATCATTCTTTTTTTTTTTTTTTTAAAATAAGACCAGGCTTCACCATGTTCATCAGGCTGGTCTTGAACTCCCAACCTCACGTGATCTGCCCACCTTGGCCTCCAAAGTGCTTGGATTACAGGCGTGAGCCACCACACCCGGCCCGACTTAGCATCATTCTTAAGAGGTCCACAGTTTTTGGAATGGTAAATGAGCATTGGCTTCAACTTAAAGCCTTAATGCAGGCTTCACCTGCATTAGCCTCTAATAAGAGAGTCAGCCTGTCCTTTAAACCCAGGCACTGACTTCTTCTCTCTAGCTATGAAAGGCCTAGACAGCATCTTTTTCCAATATCACACTGTTTCATCCACACTGAAAATCTGTTGTATAGTGTAGGCCACTTTTACCAACAATCTTGGCTAGATCTTCTGGATAACTTAGCTTCTCCAGGAGTACTTGCTGCTTTACCTTGCATTTTTTTTTTTTTTTTGGGACGGAGTTTCACTCGTTACCCAGGCTGGAGTGCAATGGCGCGATCTCGGCTCACCGCAACCTCCGCCTCCTGGGTTCAGGCAATTCTCCTGCCTCAGCCTCCTGAGTAGCTGGGATTACAGGCATGCGCCACCATGCCTAGCTAATTTTTTGTAGTTTTAGTAGAGACGGGGTTTCACCATGTTGACCAGGATGGTCTCGATCTCTTGACCTCGTGATCCACCCGCCTCGGCCTCCCAAAGTGCTGGGATTACAGGCTTGAGCCACCGCGCCCGGCCCTACCTTGCACTTTTATGTTACAGAGATTGCTTCTTTCTTTAAACCTTGTGCTCTCCCGACATTTCACCACCCAACAGGCCCCAGTGTGTGTTGTTCTCCTCCCTGTGTCCATGTGTTCACATTGTTCAGCTCACACTTATAAGTGACAACATGTGGTGTTTGGTTTTCTGTTCCTGTGTTAGTTTGATGGAGAAAATGTAGCTTCCTTATCTCTCTCAGCCTTCACAAAATTAAAGAGAATTAGGGTTTTGCTCTGGGTTAGGCTTTGACTTAAGGCCACTTAAACTTTCTTCCTATCAGCAATAAGGCTGTTTTGCTTTATCAATTTGTGTAACACTTCAAGAACTTTAGCTTTTAAATTTCCTTTGAAAACTGCATCTTTGTATTCACAACTTGGTTAACTCATGCCAAATGCCTAGCTTTTGGCCTATCTCAGCTTTAAACAGGCCTTCCTCACTAAGCTTAAGCTTTCTGTTGAAAGTAAGAGACATGCAACTCCTTCCTCTTGAACACTTAGAGGCCACTACAGGGTTAGTAACTCGCATAATTTCAATACTATCTAGTCTCAGGGAACAGGGAGGCCCAAGGAAAGGGAGGAGGGAACTGCAGGTGGGTAAAGCAGTCAAGAACACACATTTACCAATTAAGTTTGCTGTCTTACAGGTGTGATTCATGACATCCCAAAACAATTAGAAAAGTAACATCAAAGATCAACATACTTCACATGATAGTAATTAAAATGTTGCCCTGGCTGGAGTACAGTGGAGTGATCTCGGCTCACTGCAACCTCCACCACCCAGGGTCAAGCAATTCTCCTACCTCAGCCTCCCAAGAAGCTGGGACTACAGGCGCATGCCATGAGGCTCAGCTAATTTTTGTATTTTTAGTAGAGACGAGGTTTTGCCATGTTGGCCAGGCTGGGCTCAAACTCCTGACCTCAAGTGATCCACCCGCCTCAGCTTCCCACACTGGATTACAGGCATGAGCCACCACATCTGGCCAAGATGTCCACTCTTAACACTTTCTATTAACACTGTATTAGAAGCGCTATCAAAAAGTAGCACAGTGGCTCACACACCGGTAATCCCAGCACTTTGGGAGATTGAGGCGGGCAGACCACTTGAGGTCAGGAGTTCAAGACCAGCCTGGCCAACATGGCGAAACCCTATCTCTACTAAAAATACACAACTTAGCTGGATGTAGTGGCAGGAACCTGTAGTACCAGCTACTCAGGAGGCTGAGGAAGGTGAATTGCCATGAATCCAGGAGGCCGATGGTGCAGTGAGCTGAGATCACACCACTGCACTCCAGCCTGGGTGCCAGAGCAAGACTCTGTCTCAAAATAAAAAAAAAAGAAGAAATAAATTAAAAGTCATTTGTTTACCAATTATACTTCAATAAAGTGTAAGAAAACTGAAAGTCATCAATACGGAAAAGGGAGAGGTAAAATTGTCATTATTTGCAAATAAAATGTTTATGTACATAGAAAACCCAACGGAATCTGCCAAAAACACAACTGGAATTAGTAAGTGAATTGCTTGTAAGAACACAGAATGAAAATAAACCTAGAAAAATCAATTGTATTTTTACATTCTAGCCATGAACACTGGAAACAAATTTTTTAACATCATTTTAAGTGGCAAACAAATGTTAAGTTCCAGTAATTAAAGAAAAATCATGCAAGGGCTGGGCAAGGTGACTCACACCTGTAATTCCAGCATTTTGGGAGGCCAAAGCAGGAGGATCACTTGAGCCCAAGAGTTCAAGACCAGTCTAGGCAAAATAGTGACATCTCTACAAAAAATAAATATAATTAACTGGGCATGGTAACATACACCTGTGGTCCCAGCTACTCAGAAAGCTGAGATGGAAGCCCTGCTTGATCCTAGAAGTTTGAGACTGCAGTGAGCCATGACCATGCCACTGTGCTCTAGCCTACGTGAGAGTAAAACCCTGTCTCAAAAAAAAAAAAAAAATACTCATGCAAAATCTCTATATTGAAAAACTACAACTCTGCTAAGAGAAAATAAAGACCTAAATAAATAAGGAAGTACATCATATTCAAATACTCAATGTTGCTAAGATGTTTATTTTCCCTAAATTGAACTACAGATTCAATGTAATCTCAAACAAAATCTCAAAGAGGAGAAAGTTAGAGAACGTATACTATCTCATTTCAAGACTTTTTTTTTTTTTTTTTTTTTTTTTGAGACAGAGTCTCCCTCTGTTGCCAGGCTGGAGTGCAGTGGCACAATCTTGGCTCACTGCAACCTCCGCCTACCAGGTTCAAGTGATACTTCTGTCTCAGTCTCCTGAGTAGCTGGGATTACAGGTGTGCACCACAATACCCAGCTCATTTTTTTTCAAAACTTTTATTATAAAGCTTTAGTAATCAAAAACATTCGGTACTAGTGTAACTTTAATCAACTAGATCAATGAAACAAAAACCCAAAACAAACCTACAACTGATTTTCAAGTAAAAGTCTAATACAAGTCAATGAGAAAAGGCAAGTATATAATGCTGGAAAAATGGATATACATATGAAAAAAAGTCATCTGGAATTTATTTTGGCATCAAAACAAGGTTACTGCATTATAATAAACATTCATAAGAAAATACTTACATTTTTTATTTTGATGTTTCCCCAGTCATCATCCTGTTTCAAAGACAAACAAAAGACATTTAACTACTGCTGTACAAGCTGAACATAATCTAATAATCAATTAATTTTAAGCTACTTCAAAACAGAATAAAATATACCCTGCACACAGATTTTATTAAAAATTATCACAATATAAAAAAATTTCTGGCCAGCACAGTGGCTCACACCTATAATCCCAGCACTTTGGGAGGCCAAGGCAGCAGATCACCTGAGGTCAGGAGTTTGAAACCAGCCTGACCAATATGGAGAAACCCTGCTCTACTAAAAATACAAAAATTAGCTGAGTGTGGTGGTACACACTTGTAATCCCAGCTACTTGGGAGGCTGAGGCAAGAGAATCAGTTGAATCCAGGGGGCGGAGGTTGCAGAGAGCCGAGATCGCACCACTGTACTCCAGCTGGGGTGACAGAGCAAGGCTCCATCTCAAAAAAAGGGGAAAAAAATTGTTTTTAAACAGAAGAGGTCCTAATGCCAGGGTTTCAAGTAATTGGCTTCAACTGCATAAGTTAACACAATATAAAAGGCAGTAACCTTTTTAGCATCAAATACTAAAAAACACCTAGCTATAAAAATAAATACTTTTAACAAGTACTGAAAAACACTTGACTAATAACAAATGATAGATCCTGTTTTTTGGATGTTTGGAACCAGCAGAGCTAATAACTAGCTTTTATGGCAAGAATGAAGAGTTAATGTAATTAAGGTAATGATATAATTTATCATCAAAACCAGGAGACTGGTAAGAATGCAAATGCTATTAAAAATCATACCAAGAGAGTAAACCAGACTACCCAAGGCAAATAATTTTTTTTTTTTTTTTTTTAGACAGAGTCTTGCTCTGTCTCCCAGGCTGGAGTGCTGGAGTGCAGTGGTGCAATCTTGGCTTACTGCAACCTTCGACTCCCGGGTTCAAGCAATTCTCCGGCCTCAGCCTCCAGAATAGCTAGGATTACAAGCATGTGCCACCACACCTGGCTAATGGCAAATTAAATCTTAATAAATTTGCATATCCACAAATGTTTCTCAAGTGGTAAATTTCACATCTATAAAGCAATTAAATACTTTCTCTTCAATATGCTGAATAAAAATCAAGATTTTTTTTTCATGCATGATTAGTCCAGAGGTATTTTAACTTACTGCAGCTAGGCCTTTCCCTCATAAGATAAAGTCAATTCCATATTACCCTCTTTTATAGAAGGTATCAGGTACTCAATAAGCTTGTCTCCCCATGATTGGTGCCACTAATTATCTCCTTGGACACTCTGCTTTAAAATGGAACAATAACTTCCTAAAAGCCCTTCTCAATGGAAGGGCTATGACTGCTAAACATAAGGAATGATAACTATAAATGCCCCCTAAGATCACTTACCCAAGGTCACACAAATCTGGTAACTGAACACAGATCTGCATGACTTATAAATCACACGCTCTTTTAAGTAGCATGTTACTTAAACCTCTTTAAAACTCATTTATAAAATTTCCTCATTTATAAAATATGGGTAACATACAGTTGAGAATTAAAGAAAATATAAGAAAAGCCAGACACAGAATAAGTACTCAATAAATGGTAACCATTAGCAGTTAACAGTTTCATTTAATATGCATTTTTCTATCATTTTCAACAGCATACAACTAGTACAGTGTTCAAAGCACCAATTAGGCTATGAAGTTCACTAAAGGCCAAAGGTTCATACTGTATATTGAGGGGTAAACAAAGTTTTTTCTCCAACATGTGTTTTATTGCCCACGAGGCGTAGTCAGTCTTTATCTCTACAGTTAACTATCGCTCTTTAGCATTTTATCTAGAAAGTTTTTTTTTTTTTTTTAACTATACTTTTATTATTAAAAAACAACAGTAGAGACCAGCTGTGGTGGCTCGCGCCTATAATTCCAACACTTTGGGAGGCCCAAGGCAGGGCAGATCACTTGAGGTCAGGAGTTCCAGACCAGTGACAACACGGTGAAACCCAGTCTCTACTAAAAATACAAAAATCAGCCAGGCACTGTGGCAGACACCTGTAATCCCAGCTACTCAGGAAACTGAGGCAGAAAAATCCCTGGAGCCCGGGAGGTGGAGGTTGTAGTGAGCCAAAATCCACGCTCCTGCACTCCAGCCCCTGGGCAACAGAGGAAGACTCAATCTTAAAAATAATAATAGATATTGTCCTGTCTTTTCTGCAGTCCTTCATCAGTGATGCTGAAAAGGTTGGATTCTTAACTGTGGTCACTGTGATTACTCCAAAGGAAACAAAGAAAAAAATTAAGTTTCCTCTCTTTGGAGTCCCACTCTTTTGCCAGGCTGGAGTGCACTGGTGAGATCTCGGGTCACTGCAACCTCCACCTCCTGGGTTCAAGCGATTCTCCTGCCTCAGCCTCCCAAGTAGCTGGAACTATAGGTGTGCACCACTATGCCCAGGTAATTTTTCTATTTCTAGTAGAGATGGTATTTCACCATGTTGGCCAGGATGGTCTCGATCTCTTGACCTCATGATCCACCCACCTCAGCCTCCCAAAGTGCTGGGATTACAGGTGTGAGCCACCAGGCCCAGCCAGTTTCCTTTCTTTTTAAACAAAAATTTTTTCCTCCCCTTCTCCAGGTAGGAGTTAGATAAAAATTACCATTAAGAAAAAAGGGGGCCAGGCACGGTGGCTCACACCTGTACTCCCAGTAACTTTGGGAGGCCGAGGTGGGCAGATCACTTGAGGTCAGGAGTTCAATACCAGACTGGCTAACATGGTGAAACCCCAGCTCTACTAAAAATATAAAACTTAGCAGGGCATGATGGTGGGCACCCGTAATCTCAGCTACTCAGGAGGCTGAGTCATGAGAATCACTTGAACCCAGGAGGCAGACGTTGCAGTGAGCCAAGACAGCACCACTGCACTTCAGCGTGGGCAACAGATCAAGGTTCCATCTAATAAAAAAAAAAAAGAGGCCGAGTATGGTGGTTCACACCTGTAATCCCAGCACTTTCAGAGGCTGAGGTGGGTGGATCACAAGGTCAGGAGTTCAAGACCAGGCTGCCCAACATGGTGAAACCCCATCTCTACTAGAAATACAGAAGTTAGCCAGGCATGGTGGCGGGCGCCTGTAATCCCAGTGACTCAGGAGGCTGAGGCAGAGAATTTCTTGAACCCAGGAGGCAGAGGTTTCAGTGAGCGGAGATCACACCACTGTACTCCAGTCTGGGCGACAGAATGAGACTCTGTCTCAAAGAAAAAAAAAAAAAAAAAAAAGAAAGAAAAAAGGGCTCTTCATTAATGGGTAGAATGCAATAAAGGCCAAAAAAAAGAACAGTTTTCCAGAACCAGGGCTTTGGTAAAGATGCTGAAGTGCTCTGCATTTCAACATTCAAATGCATGTACAAAATTATACGCTGTAATAGCTTTTTAAAGAAAAACAAACTTCTATCTATTGTTCCATATTTTTAAACTGAGATAAAATTTTCCATCCTCATTAGAGAAAATTACTAAGTATTAATTTCATTTTAGTCTAAACAAAATAAAACTAATACTTTTAACACATCCTCATCGGAACAAAAATTCACACAATACAGATAACTGCAAAGTGTTCCACTCTCCTGACCTGCAGAGGTATCTGGCAATACAATACATTTTAAAATAAAATTTAAATGTTGCTTGTAGAACAAAGTAATGTTGGATGGAGCTGGAGGCCATTAATTGCTAGTTTCTTAGTAAACTAACACAGGAACAAAAAAGAAAACTTCATGTTCTCATTTGTAAGTAAGAGCTAAATAATGAGAACACATAGCCCTGGCACAGTGGCTCACGTCTATAATCCCACCACTTTGGGAGACCCAGGCAGGTGGATCACTTGAGGTCAAGAGTTCCAGACAAGCCTGACCAACATGGTGAAACCCCATCTCTACTACAAATACAAAAATTAGCCAGGTGTGGTGACAAACACCTGTAATCCCAGCTGCTCAGGAGGCTGAAGCAGACAGGAGAATCACTTGAACCGAGGAGGCAGAGGTTGCAGCCAGCCGAGATTGCGCCACTGCACTCCAGCCTGGGCGACAGAGCAAGACTCTGTCTCAAAAAAAAAAAATTAGAACACATAGACACATACAGGGGAACAGACACTGGAGCTTACTTGAGGGTAGAGAATGGGAGGAGGAAGGGGATCTAAAAAAAAAAAACTACCTATTGGGCACTATGCTTAGTACCTGGGTGATGAAATCTGTACATCAAAACCCTGTGACATGAGTTTACCTATATAACAAACCTGCCGATGTACCTCGGAACCTAAAAGTTAAAAATAAATAAAAGCAAAAAGATTTTTAAAACGATGCTTTTGCCTGGCGTGGTGGCTCACGCCTGTAATCCCAGCACTTTGGGAGGCCGAGGCGGGTGGATCGCGAGGTCAAGAGATCGAGACCATCCTGGTCAACATGGTGAAACCCTGTCTCTACTAAAACTACAAAAAATTAGCTGGGCATGGTGGCGCATGCCTGTAGTCCCAGCTACTCAGGAGGCTGAGGCAGGAGAATTGCTTGAACCCAGGAGGCAGAGGTTGCGGTGAGCCAAGATCGCACCATTGCACTCCAGCCTGGGTAACAAGAGTGAAATTCCGTCCCAAAAAAAAAACGATGCTTTTATAATGCCATATAGTGTTGTGAAACAGCAACAATGCTCCTCCCTTACACTAACATGCATAAGACAGTTTTAATCCCACAGATGACATACTCTAATCATATTTTAAAAAACACTTCAAATGCTACATTAAAACTAAACACATTTTCCAGTGTTATTTTTCACAAATTATATAATAATAGTAATATGATGAAAATTTGGACATTTTACCTTTAGCGTTCCTCCTTTCACCATAACTTTCTGTCTGGCAGGCTGGACTCCAGTCAATGCAAACAGTTGAGCCTTGAACACCACTGGGGGTTCATCGGTATTCAATTCTACACCTTCAAATTTCTCCTTTCCCCATTTTACAGTAACTGCAAACAAAATCACAAGTTTTTTAATTAAAAAATAAGACAAGATTTACAGACCTTTAGAAGATCACCATTAGGCAGTTACTGAGAGTCAAAGTGTGTCATTCATCTTTCTAAGTCCATAACACCTGCCTGATCAAGAGTGGCATGCAGGTAGCAGGTCCTGAATAAAATTTCACTGGATCAAACCTAACTTCTCATTTGATAATTAAAGAAACTGAGACTTAAGAGAAGTAGACTAATTTGCTAATGTCAGAAAATTAGTTAATAAACTTCCAAGTCTTCAGAATCCTACTTCAACAATATAATGATCATATTGAAATATTTCCCAAAATAAGTTTCACAGCCTCCACAATTTGTTTAATTGAAGAGTCATTCACATCAGCACACAGCATTGGAAAAGAGAATGGTTTAAGAAAAAAGGACAGCTTAAGATAAAAAGTTCCTGTGAGAATAAGGCACCTCTAAAACCACTTAAAGAATACAGATTCTGAATCATAAGAAATGTGGGAGAATTGAAAAGTGTCATTTCTGAACAGTAGGTGCTCAAATATTAAGAAAAAAATCCAAAGACATATGTAAATCATTTAAAAACATAGAAATCCCACCTCACAGCCATTAGAATGGCTATGACTCTTTAAATTTAACAGAAAATAACAAGTCTTAGCAAAGATGTGGAGAAATTGGAACATTTGTACACTGCTGGTGGTAAACACAGCATTACCATATGATCCAGCAATTTCACTTCTGGGTATAAACAGAAGATCTGAAAGCAAGGACTCAAACAGATATTTGTACACCCATGTTTATAGCAGCATTATTCACAATAGCTGAAAAAGTGGGAGCAATTCAAGTGTTCATCAACAGATTAATGGACAAAGAAAATACGGTATATGAATACAATGGAATATTATTCACCATTAAAAAGGAAAGAAACTCTTACACATGCTACAACATGGATGATTCCAGCTATGAGACACCTAAAGTGGTCAACTTCATAGACACAAAACGAGAATGGTGTTTGCCAGAGGATGTGGATGAAGGTGACGGTTGTGCAACAGTGCAAATATACTTAATGCTACAGAACTGTACATGTAAAAATCATTAAAATGGTAAATTTTATACTTCTATTTCACCACAATAAAAATTTCAATCAGCCTCATAAAATAGTTTTAAACCCAAAGACATATATTGTTTCCACTGAAAACTTTATACCTTTCAAAAATAAGAACCTCATAACTGTTAACTGCTTTTCAACTCCTTAAATAAGAATTTGAAACCTGACCCTGACGCCAAATCCCAATTCTATCACCAGTTCAATGAATATGTTGAGCATTCATTTACAGGTATTGATCGACTTACGACCTGTGCAACTTACAACCATTCGACTTTACGACCACAATCGCTAGCCACGACTGTTCCGCGTCTGGCAGCGCAAACGTTGCCCAGCTGGGTGTACAACAGTGCGGACCAGCTTCCGGCAGCACTACCAACTCCGCGTGCATATAGCCTACTCAACTTACGACCAAATCATGTTACGACTGGTCTGTCGGAACCAATCGTGGTCGTACGTCGAGCACTAGCTGTAATGACAAGGCCAGTACCAAGCATTGGGAAGACTCTCCATAAACATCGCTTAATAAGGAAGGGAGGGGGGAAGGCTATAGTAATTAACAATGTAAGTATTATAAAGGCTACAGCAACACAGTGGAATGCTTCATAAATGAGGAAAGATTTCCTGAAGGAAGTGTTAACTTTTGAGTTATCACCATCAACTCTGAATCTTAAAGAAAAGATTAGGTGGTAGAGACTAGGAGAGAACAGAAGCATCCCCAGAAAAGAAGAAAAATATTCCATAGCATAAAGCAGCATGGTGTGTTCTAAGATGTAAGTAATTAACTACCAAGTGAAGGGAAAGTAGCAGTAGATGAAATTGGAAGCTGGCTAAGGATCAAGTTATAGAAGACACATGTCATCCTAAAACATACATAAAGAGGCTGAGTGCAGTGGCTCATGCCTGTAATCCTAGCACTTTGGGATGCTGAGGTGGGTGGATCACTTGAAGTCAGGGGTTTGAGACCAACCTGGCCAACATGGTAAAACCCCGTCTCTACTAAATATACAAAAATTAGCTCGGTATGGTGGCAGGCACCTGTAATTCCAGCTACTCAGGAGGCTGAGGCAAAAGAATTGCTTGAAACCAGAGGGTGGAGGTTGCAGTGAGCCAAGATCTCACCACTGCACTCCAGCCTGGGCAACAAGAGTGAATCTCCATCTCAAAAAAAAAAAAAAAAAAATACATAAAGACTTTATGTTATAGGCAATGTGTAATTCCTGAAAGACTGTCATAAAAAACACTTTAGTCTGGTTTGAATATTATTAGATCACTCTTGTAGCCGCAGAGAAAACGGGCTTGAAGAGGGCACACTGCAATCAATGAAATAAACTAAAAGCATATTACAATAGTACAAGCTGAAGATGATACAGATTAAACTAAAACAGTACTAGAAGGAGAGAACCTACCTGAAATTTATTTAGCTATCACTATGAGCAAGTTAAAGCTTTTTACTTATGCTTAAAAGAGGAATTCTACCAGTATCACAGAATCATGTTGAAGATTAAAATGAAGCAGTTTGTACAAAACTTTAACTCTGTATGAGGCACAGTAGATGTGTGTTTATTTTTAGAGACAGGGGTCTTGCTCTGTTATCCAGGCTGGAGTGCAGTAGCACCATCACAGATCACTGCATCCTCTAACTCCTAGGCTCAAGTGATCCTCCCAATTCAGCTTCCTGAGTAGATGGGATTAAAGGCATACACCTTGGGTCCGGGCTTTAATTTTTAATAGCACTTACCCATGGCCATTTAATAATCTAGATACTTAATTTTCTTTTTTCTTTTTTTTTTTTTTTTTTTGGGAAGTGCAATAGCACAATCTCGGCTCACTGCAACCTCCACCTCCTTGGTTCAAGCAATTCTCCTGCCTCAGCCTCCCAAGTAGCTGGGATTACAGGTGTCCACCACATCGCCTAGCTAATTTTTACATTTTTAATAAAGACGGAGTTTCACCATGTTGGCCAGACTGGTCTTGAACTCCTGACCTCAAGTGATCCACGCGATTCGGCCTCCCAAAGTGCTGGGATTACATGCATGAGCCACCGCGCCAGGCCCAGATACTTAATTTTCTACTAAATCTTATGAAATAATACTTAAAATGTTCTCTTCATTTTAATATCGAGTTTTTTGCTGACCCTCAAAATACAGATTCTCAATATGGACAGGCCAAAGGAAGGGACCTTAGAAACCTACTTGCATTCCCTCATTTGGGGGGTGATGAGGAAAAGATCTGATTAAATATTTAAGACAAAGCTCAAATTTTAAAAAAGAAACTTTGGTCAGTGCTGGCATTTTTTGAGGAAACAGAGGGGTTTTGTTGTATGTTTGTGAACCTACTGGTGTGTTTAAGTATTAAAGTATTTCAAGAGCCATTCTACTGTTATGACTTTAGAAAGGTGTTGGACAATTATTAAGAATTCGATTCAAGATTCTAGACCATCAACATCCACCTTGAGATCAAACATTACTCTTGATTCGTATCATGCTTTGAAAATGCTGAATCGAGAGATCCAAGATGGCTGATCACTAGCAGCTCGGGATTGTAGCTCCCACTGAAAGCGCAGAGAACGAGAGGATGCCACACTTTCAGATCAATTTTTGTTGCTCACACACCAGGAGATTCCCATCGGAGGAGCCCCACGGGTCGCCACCGCGACTCTTGTGGCCGACGAGGCGGTTTTGCCGTTGCCTTGGTGCAGCGGTTCTTGGTGCAGAGTCAGAAAAGCACCCTCAATCATAATGCCGCTGTTTTGGCCAGCACAGTGGGTTGCTCAGATTTTAGCACTGGGAATCAACAAGTTGGACGTCCATTCAGAAACCCAACTATAAAGACAGTAATTATAAAGACCACAGATGGATAAATCTATAACGAAGGGAAGAAACCGGCCTAAAAAGGCTGAGAATACCCAAAATCAGAACGCCCCTCCCTCTACAGGGGATCACAGTTCCTCATCAGCAACGGAACAAGGCCTGATGGAGAAAGACTGTGTTCCATTAACAGAAGCAGGCTTTAAAACGTGGATGATAAGAAACTTCTGGGAATTAAAAGAACTTGTTCTAACCCAATGCAAAGAAACTAAGAACTTTGAAAAAAGATTTGACGAAATGTTAACAATAATACACAATTTAGAGAGGAATATGAGTGAATTAATGGAGCTGAAAAACACAACCGGAGAACTTCGCGAAGTATGCACAAGTTTTAACAGCCGAATTGATCAAGCAGAAGAAAAGATATCAGAGGTCAAAAACCAACTTAATGAAATAACACGAGAAGACAAGATTAGAGAAAAAAGGATAAAAAGGTACAAGCAAAGTCTCCAAGAAATATGGGACTATGTGAAAAGACCTAATCTACGTTTGATAGGTGTACCTGAATGTGACGAAGAGAATCAATCCAAGCTGGAAAATACGCTTCAGGATATTATTCAGGAAAACTTTCCCAACCTAGCAAGTCAGGACAATATTCAACTCCGGGTAATACAGAGAACACCACAAAGATATTCCTCAAGAAGACCAACCTCAAGGCATATAATCGCCAGATTCACCAGGGTTGAAATGAAAGAGAAAATACTGAGGGCAGCCAGACAGAAAGGTCAGGTTATCCATAAAGGGAAGCCTATCAGACTCACAGCAGATCTCTCAGCAGAAACCCTACAAGCCAGAAGTGAGTGGGGGCCAATATTCAACATCCTTAAAGAAAAGAACTTTCAACCCAGAATTTTACATCCGGCCAAACTAAGCTTATTAAGCGAAGGAAAAATAAAATCTTTTGTGAACAAGCAAGCACTCAGAGATTTCATCACCACCAGGCCTGCTTTACAAGAGCTTCTGAAAGAACCACTACAAATAGAAAGGAACAACCAGTATCAGCCTTCCTAAAAAATACCAAAAAATAAAGAACATCAACATAATTAAGAACTTGCATCAACTAATGGGCAAAACAGCCAGCTAACATTAAATGGCAATATCAAACTCACATATATTATTATTAATTCTAAATTTAAACCGACTAAATCCCCCAATCCAAAGACACAGACAGGCAAAAAAAGCCAAGATCCATTGGTATGCTACATCCAGACCCATCTCACATGCAAGGATACACAAAGACTCAAAACAAAGGGATGGAGAAAAATTTACCAACCAAATGAAGAGCAAAAATAAATAAATAAATAGAAAGCAGGAGTTGCGATTTTTGCTGATAAAACAGACTTTAAAGCAACAAAGATCAAAAGAAGCAAAGAAGGATATTACAATGATAAAAGGATCAATGTAACAAGAAGAGCTAAAGATCCTAAATATATACGCACTCAATACAGGAATACCCAGATATATAAGACTTATAAAGAGACTTAGACTCCCACGCAATAATAGTGGGGGACTTCAACAACAATATTAGATCAATGAGACAGAAAGTTAACATCGATATCCAGGACTTGAACTCAGATCCGAAACAAGTAAACTTAATTAACATTTATAGAACTCTCCACTTTAAATACACAAAATATACACTCTTATCAGTACCACATCACACCTATTTACAGGTTTAAATGAAATATTGGTTGGCTGCTTGTTAGTTATTTTCTTCCCTCATTTAAAAAATAAAATAAAAATAGAAAATGCTGAATCTTCAATAAAGAAACTGACAGAAGGATGATCAATGAATCACACATCTATAGCCAATTGGAGCCACCACACATATTTTAGGTGCCATCTTGAATAAGACTATGAAGCAGCAAGTTCCATTCTCTAAGTAAAAGTGATCCCTGGCCAGTACCTTGGACTGTAAGCAAGCAAACAACACAACCCCTTGTCAAACGCCCATCAAGAAATGACACCCCGGGGATATGTGTATTCACCTACTTCTGAAAGCTCACACCATGTTTCAGATACAGAAATCCAATACAACGTCTGATGAAATGAAAATGAAGCAAAAAGGTTTACAATCTGCCTCGGGACAAAACTAAAACTGGTACCAAAGGGGCGGTCGAACAAAGGCAAGGAGCAAGAGGAGGGTGAAGGGCGACGAAGGGTAGCGAACGCCGCTTGGCAACCCCCGAAAGGATGAAGCCTCACCTTCCATCCCGGGTCCCTCCATCCCTCCCCTTCTTTCCCGCTCCCTTCCACGACAACCACTGAGAAGTTCAAAGGAATCGTCCTGCACCTCCAGCCTGGTGCGCAGCGCCCCAGGACACACCCTCACGTTCACCGCACACCAGGGCAGCATCAGAAACTATTCTGCAGAGTCACGACTTTGAAAGGCTTCCCCATCTCTACTCCCCCCACCCACCGGTGGCTCAGGAGAACGGCGCTCCCCTGTCACGCACGGGAAAGGGGGAAACGACCCAGCCGGGAGAGGGGATGGTGCCAGGGTCGTCTCCGCGCCGCCGGCCTCGCACACCCCACCCCGGCCCCTATCGGCCAGTCCCCGGTGCCCGCCCCTGCAGGCCAGGCCTACGCGGAGGCCTAGCGCGGGGCCGGTGTGCGGCCTGCGAGGCCAGGAGGGGGCTCACCGGAGTAGAGCGGCATGGCTGGAAGCGGCAGGAGGCGGTGGCGCAGGAGGGCTGAGCCTGGCACAGGCGGCTAAGGGACTAGGACCAGAAGCAGCTGTGGCGGCGGCCGAGGCGGAGGCGCGGTGGTGGCGGCGGCTTCGGTGCGACGAGAGTCTCATTCAAACCGGCCACTGGCGATGACGCAGCAACACGCAGTACACCCGTAGAGCTCCCGGGCGACTGCACGGAGGAGACTGGGTGTGAGAGCCAGGGCGGGGCCTGGAAGTGGCGAGAGGATGGAGGAGGGGTAAGGCGGTGATAAGGCAGAAGGGAACCAGGGAGGGAGGGGCGCGGGGCCCTAGCCAACGCAGCAGGTGCGCGCCTGCGCACTGGCAGTCAGCCGCTTGCGCCCACTGGCCACGTGGTCTTGGCGCGGCCCAGCCCTGCGACAGATGATGTGGGAACTTGGTATCCCACTTGCTGTCAGAAGCTGAGGCGGGAGAATCGCTTGAGCCTAGGAGGTCGAGGCTGCAGTGAGCTGTGATCGTGTCACTGCACTCCAGCCTGGCAACAGAGCGAGACCCTGCCTCAAAAGAAAATAAATAAAATTAGTGGTTGTAAAGTCAGGTGTTTTCAATACCAGCTGTTATTAGCTAGCTGTATGATGTAGCAAGTCTATCAGTTCTGTTTTTCTAACAGCATGTGCTCACTTCATGTCTCTGTGTCACATTTTGGTAGTTCTCGCAATATTTTGAACTTTTTTATTCCTATTACATCTGTTCCAGTTATCTATGATTAGGGATCTTTGATGTTACTATTGTAATTGTTTTGGGGTGCCACTAACCACACCCATGTAAAACGGCGAACTCCAATGTTTTGTGTATTCTGACTGCTCTGGCAACAAGTCTTTTCCCACAGAGGTTCAAGGCTTGAGTTGAGGACACAACTGCAGATGTGGTGGAAATAGCAAGAGAACTAGAATGAGAAGTGGAGCTTGCAGATGTGACTGAATTGCTGCAATCTCATGACAAAGCTTTAACAGGCAAGGAGTTAGTTCTTATGGATAAGCAAAGAAAGCGGTTTCTTGAGATGGAAACTACTCCTGGTGAAGATGCTGTGAATACTGTTAAATGACAACAAAGGATTTAGAATATTCCATAAGCTATGGAACTGTTGGTAAAGCAGCAGCAAGGTTTGACGGGATTGACTCATTTTGAAAGAAATTCAAATTTGAAAGTTCTTCTGTGAGTAAAATGCTAAACAGCACTGCATGTCACAGGGAAAACTTTCATAAAAAGAAGAGTCTATCGATGTGGCAGATTTCATTGTTGTCTTATTTTAAGAAATTGCCACAGCTACCCCAAATTTTACCATCCATTACTCTGATCAGTCAGCACCCATCAACATTAAGGCAAGACTCTCCACCAGCAAAAAGATGGCAAGTCACTGACAGCTCAGATGATCCTTAGCATTTTTTAGCAGTAAGGTTTGATTGTTTGTTTTGAGACAGGATCTCACTCTGTCACCCAGGCTGGAGTCCAGTGGTGCAATTACGGCTCACTGCAGCCTCAGCTTCCCAGCTCGAGCTATCCTCTCACCTCAACCTCCTGAGTAGCTGGGACTACAGGTGTGCACCACTATACACAGCTAATTTTTTTTTTTGTATGTTTTGTAGAGATGGAATTTCGCGATGTTGCTCAGGCTGGTCTTGAACTCCTCATCTCAAGCAATCTGCCCACCTAGGCCTCCCAAAGTACTGGGATTACAGGCATGAGCCACTGCACCCAGCCTTAACACTTAATAGACTACAGTATAGTAGAAATATAACTTTTATATGCACTGGGAAACCAAAAACTTTGTGTGACTCACTTTATTACAATATTAGCAATATTGCAGTGATCCGGAACTAAACTAGCAATATCTTCAAGTTGTGCATGTAAAAATGGAGATAATGGTACAGTATCTACATCACAGGATTGTTATGAGGACTAAATAAGATTATGTATAGAAGATTCTTAGCACAGGGCATTGCACATGGTATGCAATAAATGATACTTATTTTATATTACATAGTAAAACTTCAAAGGGATTTTTGCAGACTATGTTAGAATAGCAGGCTATGGATAGCTTTATTTTCTATTTTTTTAATGTTCAGTAATATACTTCTATAAAATATATATTTAAAAATATATTGCATAGATTGGCTGGGTGCTGTGGCTTACGCATATCAACTCAGCAATTTGAGAGGCCGAGGCAGGTAGATCGCTTGAGCTCAGGAGTTCAAGACCAGCCTGGGCAATGAAGTGAGACCCCCCCATCTCTACAAAATAAATTTAAAAATTAACCAGACATGGTGGTGCACGCATGCAGTCCCAGCTACTTGGGAAGCTGAGATGAGAGGATGGCTTGAACCTGGGAGGCAGAGGTTTCAGTGAGCCGAGATTGTGCCACTGCACTCCAGCCTGGGTGACAGAGCGAGACTCTGTCTCAAAAAACAAAACAAAACAAAATAAAAATATATCATATAGATCATCTGTGGGAAAATCTTTGATGCCTTTTGTTGAAGTTGACGGTAAAGGAGGCCTAAAGATTGAAGAATTCAGAGGCAAATCATCATCCTCTCTACTACACTCACATTGCAACCTGTGCTTTTTTTGTTGTTGTTTTTGTTTTGTTCTGTTTGTTTTTTGAGACAGTCTTGCTCTGTCACCAGGCTGGAGTTTAGTGCTGGGATCTTGGCTCACTGCAACCTCCACCTCCCAGATTCAAGTGATCCTCGTGCCTCAGCCTCCCAAGTAGCAGGGATTACAGGCGTGCACCACACGCCTGGCTAATTCTTGTATTTTTAGTTGAGACGGTTTCTCGCCATGTTGACCAGGCTGTCTCAAACTCCTGGCCTCAACCAATCTGCCCACCTTGGCCTCCCAGAGTGCTGGGATTACAGGCGTGAACCACCATACCCCACCAGCTTTTTCTTTAGTAGCTCTTATCACAGTTCTATTTTTTTAAACGCATGTATTCCCCCAAGGACACTATAAACAGGAATTGTGGCTATCTGGTAGGCACTTAGCAATTACTTGATGCTGTGAGAACTAGATGTGAAAACTACCTATTTGAAGTTTACTCGTTCTGTACATGACCAAGGAATCTTGCAGACCAAGTTTTGGTCCCTTTGGTACAACTAGCTTCTTCCAGCCTCTCTGAAGATCTGTAGACCTAAATTTAAGACAAATGGGGGCAGAGTAAGGAGGTGAAACCCTGCTAGCAACTGAAAGGAAGCATAAAAAGAAATTTGCACAACTGGCCTTCCTAGACGTCAGAGAGAGTTCTAGATGACAGCAACCTTGTCACTGTGACACACATTGCTAAGCCGTGGACTCCATGTGTTTAACGGATGGGATTTTCTTCTTAAGGCTGACTTCTTTAAATAATGAATGAATTGGTGTGATCTTAACCCTTGCATGTTTATACATAAATAAGTTCTATAAAAGATGGCCAAATATCAGAAATGTTTTCACTTGGTGAGTTACCTACAATTGATTCCTTAGAATGCACCCTCCCTCCTCACCTGGCCATTAGAAATCCTGTCCAACTTTAAAGTCTCCATTTAATGCTACCTTTTTCACATAAACTGAAAGCCTTCTCATACAATCACCACTTCCTATCAAATGGTTTTATGTTTTATTATGGCTGTTTCCCATGACTGCCATAATGAATTATCACAAACCTCGTGGCTTAAAGCAACATAAGTTTATTATCTTACAGTTTGAGTGGTCAGAAGTCTGAGAATGGTCTTAACATTAAGGTGTTGGCAGGACTGCATTCCTCCTAGAGGCTCTGAGGGTGATTTTTTTTTTTCTCAGGTGGAGTCTCACTTTGTCACCCAAGCTGGAGTGCAATGGTGCCATCTCAGCTCACTGAAACCTCCACTTTTTGGGTTCGAGCGATTCTCGTGCCTCAGCCTCCCACGTAGCTGAGATTACAGGCACACATCATCGCGCCTGGCTAATTATTGCATTTTTAGTTGGACGGGGTTTTGCCATGTTGGCCAGACTGGTCTTGAACTCCTGACCTCAGGTGATCCGCCTGCCTCAGCCTCCCAAAGTGCTAGGATTACAGCGATCGGTCGCTGAGGGTGAATCTATTCCTTCCCCTTCCCAGATCCTAGATGCTGTCCGCATTCCTAGGCTCCTGGCTCTACTTCAGCCACAGCATCACTCCAACCCCTGCTTGAGTTGCCATAACACCTTCTCTGACTGACCTCTTCCTTCCTTTTAGAAAGTCCCTTGTGGGCACTACGGGGGCCAAGGAAGGAAGAAATGTGGGCACGGGCGTTGTGGCTGGGACTTCGGGCCCCGCTGGGCTGGCCCTGGAGCTTCACCTCCAAGACAGATCCTCAGGGCAGTGGCCGCATCACGGCCGAGGTGATCAAGCACCTGGAGCGTCTAGCACTTGTGGACTTCGGCAGCCGGGAGGCAGCAGCGCGGCTGGAGAAAGCTATCGCCGTCGTCGACCACCTACGCGCCGTGGACACCGATGGGGTGGAGCCCATAGAGTCGGTCCTGGAGGACAGATGTCTATACCCGAGATCCAGCAATGTAGTAGAAGGCAACTGTGCTGATGAATTACTACAAAACTCCCATCATGTCGTAGAGGAGTACTTTGTGACCCCTCCAGGTAATATCCCTTTGCCAAAGCTGGGTGAACAAGAGCCATTCCCACACAGCTGAGTAACTCATTCTGGAAAAGGGGTACTCTGAACGCGTGGAATCACAATGACAGTATTTTCTTACTGTGAACACTAATGTTCCTGCTTTTCTCAGTCACCTAAAAAAAATGGACGCTTAAGCATTTCTTAATGATACACTCTTCTGAAGACAGAATTGGGAAAGATCTAGCCCAATGAATTCTAGAGCCCAAAGATCTATAACAGTGAGTTCCTGATGCTAACTGAAATAAAAGGAAAGCAAAAGTCAGCTTCCAAGGTATCACTTAACAGGCCTGTTCAGTAAGGAAGACACTGTTTACCTGCCTTTAACCCCAAAGGACTGAACCAACTGCATGAAAGTGAACTTTTCTATCTATGTAACTGGTAGACGGTGCATCTTGATCACTATGTGACAACCTTGGCTGTCCCTTTTAGTTGCCATTTGCATTGATTTGAGCAGGCCTATCTTGACCAAACATACCTGAATTTGTTCCTGGGCACCCACTTTGTTCCTAGAAAAAGGCTAACTTCCTACTAAAGTCTGAAGAGTGTTCAAAGTAGACTAGAGCTTGGGAACTCCTAACCTAGAACTATCTACCATCCCACAAAGTGATTATATGCAAAAGGGATACTAGTCATACACAGTGTTTCTCTTTCTGAAAAGAGAACTTGTCCTAAAATTAGCCCTGAGACAAAGCACCCCCAAAATGATTACTAAATTGAGATGAGCCCAAGATTGTGGGTTTTTTTTGTTTTAAAACACAGATACCAAGGATAAATGAAACCTATTTAGGGATAAAAGTGAAACAATCAGAGAGAGACTTTTTCCTCTAACCAAACTGCCAAAGTTGGTTTTGGCTAAGAAATTCCCAATGATACTTGCACTGCTGCTCACTTTTTAATTTTTCTGAGACAGGGTCTTGCTCTGTTACCCAGGCTGGAGTGCAGTGGCGTGATCATAGATCAATGCAGCCTCCAACTCCTGGGCTCAAGTGATTTTCCCACCTCAGCCTCCTAAGTAGCTGGGACTACAGATGTGCATCACCATGTCCAGTTAATTCTTTTAAGTAGTTAAGGGGTCTTGCTATGTGCCTATCTTGTCTTGAACTCCTGGCCTCAAGGGATCCTCCGGCGTGCCTTGGCGTTCCAAAGTGCTGGGATCACAGGCATTAGCCACCATGTGTTTATTTTTTCCCATTCCCTTCTGTTTTCTGCAATGCTTCTTTCTTCTTTAAGGTAGCTTAATTTACAAGCTTGGCCTTGAATTAAAAGAGAACCTGCTCTTGGAGTTGAAGTTCTCAAACCAACATCAGAGCAACTATCTATCCCTATATAAATAAAGTTATCTCCTTACTAACTGAAAAAAAAAAAAAAAAAGTCCCTAGTGATTACATTAGCCCCAACTGGATAATTTCAGATACTATTTTCATTTTAAGATCCTTAATCACAGCCAGTCCCTTTTAGAAGACAACAAACATATTCATAGAGTCAGGAGATTAAGACATGGACAAATCTGTAGAAATGTTATTCTGTCTACCAAGGACTGCCAACAAATAATAAAACAAAAATCAACAACTATCACTACACTTTCTTAGAGAACCTATAGTTTTAATATTCCTATGTTTTTCTCTTGTCTCACTACTAAATTATAAATTTTTTTTTTTTTTTTTTTTTTGAGATGGAGTTTCACTCATGTTACCCAGGCTGGAGTGCAATGGCGCGATCTCGGCTCACTGCAACCTCCGCCTCCTGGGTTCAGGCAATTCTTCTGCTTCAGCCTCCTGAGTAGCTGGGATTACAGGCATGCACCACCATGCCCAGCTAATTTTTTGTAGTTTTAGTAGAGACGGGGTTTCACCATGTTGACCAGGATGGTCTCGATCTCTTGACCTCGTGATCCACCCGCCTCGGCCTCCCAAAGTGCTGGGATTACAGGCTTGAGCCACCACGCCCGGCCTAAATTATAAATTATAAGCCCTACCAGGTGTGGTGGCTCATGCCTGTAATCCCAGCTCTTTGGGAGGCCAAGTCAGGAATATCACTTGAGGTCAGGAGTTCAAGACCAATATGGTGAAATTCTGGCTCTACTAAAAATACAAAAAATTACCAGGCATGGTGGCATGTACCTGTAATCCCAGCTACTTGGGAGGCAGGGGAAGGAGAATCACTTGAACCTGGGAGGCAGAGATTGCAGTGAACTGAGATCACACCATTGCACTCCAGCCTGGGTGACAGAGTGAGACTCTGTCTCAAATAATAATAATAATAATTTGGGATCCTACACACACACACACACACACACACACACACACATTCTAAAACCTAGAATAATAGTTTGCCTAATATGGTTTTCAAAAAGTAGTTCCTGGCCAAGTA